TGACATCATAATTGAAAAGAAAAAGATATTTCACATCTTTAATTAAGCGCAGCTTAATACGATAGTATGATAATATTACCGGATATATACGGGGTGTTACAATACTCACAGAAGAAAGAAGAAAACTACATAGAACTAAGATAAAATAAATAGTAGCATTTTTATAGCTCTACTCCTGCAACAACTTCACATGCTGCCACTCTCCACCATCTCTAAGCTTCTAGAGAGGTGTAGGGATCATCTTGATCCAATAATTCCTCTATTGGACCCTAGCTTCACCCATTGACCCGTTGGATTCCTCTCAACTAAGGTCTTCAAAGTCTTCAATCAATTGTGTCCTCCAAACATTCATTTGATTGTGAATGAGCCTATTTATTTATAGAAAAATACTAATTTGGGTGCCAAGTATCTTTTGAATCAAATTCCCTCAAGAGTAGCATCCTAATATAACTAGGATTTATCATTAAGCTTAGATTTCTCCTCTTGATAACTGAATTTTAGGATTTGATAGGATATATACTTATACCTAAATTTTCGCAGCCTTCTTATCCTTATCCAGTGTTGTAGCGTCTTATCTTCATGTTTGAATTTCGAATTCAAATGCTTAACCTCTTATCTATTATGTTATGGCCTTGAATGCATTATTTCGTTAAACGCACGATTGCTATAGCTTTGTTGGGACTCTGATATGCAAAAAGAAACTTCAAAGACAGTGAATAACTTTAGTACTCGAAATAACTCAAATGTAAACACTTAGCATATTTCTCATTCAAAATATAAAAAGACAAGATTAATGCAACTATCAATAGTCTAAGGGAATTATGTACAATAGTAAGCACCAAATCATCAAAAGTAAGACCAACAATAATAGGCACCAAATCATCAAAAGTAAGACAAAATTAACTCTCAATGGGAGAGTTAACAATATTCCATTTGAAATTTGTTGAATTTTGAATAAAGATGATCATTTTTAAGAACAAGGGTTCTCTCCTTATCGATCCCAAATTCGTTTATTTAACCTCTTTTCTATATGTTTCGACATTAATTAGTAATCAGAGCTTGGTTGGCTTTCACTAATGGCTGAAAATATTATGGTTGTCGTCAATGGTGGGTTTGCGGTGGCAAAGGACATGGAATTTTCCTAGAGATTGAAGATGAACAACTGTACAAAGAGACCTACACGACATAAAAGACAAAGAGCTATGACGATGAGTCGAGGAACTTGAACAACAATTTGGGAGATCGCATTTGCCGGTTCAAACCAAAGATGAGATGGAATCTTAATAAGCATTTGACGATGAGGAAGAAGTCGACAATCCCTTAGCGATTTGAGCCAAGGGTAGAATCGAGAGATTCAACATGGAGCTCAGTCTTCTCCTCCAAACATCAGGACGAAATTCAAGGTTCTTGACACTTCAATTCAATTTATGATTATAGTCCTATATATCATGAATCTGATGAAGAACACGATTATGATGATGTTTCGATTTATGATAACTCTGACTAAGAATATAATTATGATAACCCAATCTATTTTGACAGAGAATCAGAGGGTGAAAAATGTGTTCTGTGAGATGCAAACGACCCAAGAGTTGAAGCCCGACAATGTATTCATGATTTCAGTTGTTCTCAAAGTTTGTGATCAAATCTCCAAGTGCATTAGAGTTTAGGATGCGTGCAAGGTGTTTGATAGGATGGCTTTGAATGTTGTTATTTTTGGGCATGCTCAATAGGGCCTTGTAAACAAGGCATTAGTTTCTCCATTTTGTTTGGTGCAATATAATTTTAAGAATATTATTGTGAATTCAAATGCAATAACTTGAAACACGTTGATATTTAGATTTTCACATAGGGATGAACAAGCAATGGTGGTCTCTAAGATCTTCAAGTTGATAATTGCATATGATGTTAAGCCCTGATCTCGTGGACTTTCTAGTGATTAAAACTTGGATGATTAAAACTTAAACTAAAATTCTCATTGGTTCATTTATCAAAAAAATAAAAAAATAAAAGTCCCATTGGGATCAATTTTAATAACATTAAAAATTAACCGTAGCTTTCTAGTGCATTTTTCTTGAGATTTATGCCCTTTTATGGGAACATACTCAGGTACAACTTCATTTATACGCTTGGATAAATTTTCATTTTTGAATACAATGATAATACTAAAATTTGAATTTATAACTTCACACATAGGGGTGTTCAAAATATCCATAAGAACCAAACCGATCCATAATCAAACTGCTCCACATTTTAAAAACCGGTTATTTTTAAAAACCGCTTTCACCTGAAACTGCATTTTATTTTATAAACTGGTTATTTACCAAACCATAAAAATAATTGGTTTTCCATAACCAAACTGCTCTACAATTAAATAACAAATAAGCATTATCTTTTATCATGCCTATTATAATAGTCAATTGACTCAAACTTCTAAACAATAAACTAGCAAAAAAAGTTAAGCAGCTCAAGTAGAAAACATTTATTTAAAAAAAAATTACACATAAATCAAAAGGTCGCATCTTAAGAAAGCACTTCTTATATAACGAAACAACTTTTTTTCCCAAAAAAAAACCACATACAAGTCTCCGGGCAAACTCATAACTTGACAAAGCGAAGGTTGAAATGACAAAAATGAAGTTAAAAAATCATAACGAAAAAGGCAACGAAATTAATCAATTGGCTTAACGTCTCTGAGAGCACCGTTAAAAGGACAACTCACAATAAATTTACTTATTTGTTCTTTAATTATAGGGCAGTTTGGTTATGGATAACCAATTATTTTTATGGTTTGGTAAATAACCAGTTTATAAAAATAAAATACAGTTTCATATGAAACCGATTTTTAAAATTAATCGATTTTTAAAATGTGGAGCAGTTTGGTTATGGATTGAATTAGTTCTTTTGGACATTTTGAATACTCCTACCCATACCTTCCTCCATCAGTTTAAATGAAACTCTTAGTAACATAAATCTTGAGTGAACGAAGAGCAATTTTTTTTATAATTTTAAAATAATTCAACTGTTCTTCTACCAATCACTCTCAAAACAACGTGAAACAATTTTTATAAGAATCATTTCGTATGGAGAGTTCCAAAACAATGAAGATTCTTGTAAGAAATAGTTGGTCAACTACCTATAACCAGGAGAAACAAACGACTACTTATAAAAATAGCACAATCCATCAAAAATCAATTTTGAATTTGTTAAAAAACTGGTTTTGAAATTGATAACCGGTTTATGGTTCATAACCGGTTTTGATTTAAAAACGGTTTTGAATCAAAACCGGTTTTAAATCAAAACCGGTTATAAACCATAAACCGGTTTAAAAAATTAAAAACCGGTTTTAAAAAAAGAAAACTGGTTCAGTTTGAAAACCAAATCCTTTAAAACTGGTTCAATTCGGTTTTTGTTAAAACCGATTATGAACCGCTCCATGCACACCCCTACTCACACAAAGTACTCAAATTCTTCACTAATATATCAATCCCAGTAACTTGCTTCAATAATTTCTAATGCACCAAACATCAAATGCTAAAAGCTTATTTTTCAATATGACATTTTGTCCAAATGTACCACAAGCTAGATCGAGAACAAGTTGATAAAACTAATAGTACTTCAATGCATTAAGAACCTCAAAACTTCCGGCCTCATAATAAAGTTAACCCACGGTTGAATCTCAATGACATGGAAAATATAGTTGAAACTCGATGAAGGCTATAATCCCATTTATACTTTCAATGGACAAAAAAAGGGGGGAATTTGCAAGACACTCGACATATCAAATTTCACTAGTCCCTACTAAGTATTATGAGTGCAGATGCTTAAATAGGACTACAGAACTATAAATGTCTTTATCACCTATGCTGAATGTCCAAGTCTAGCTTTTCACACGCCTTATTAAAATACTTCTCCTGTTGGACCAATCACTTCTACAAAAATGAACTTTTATAAGAATAATTGTTATAAAAAAAAAAAAAAAAAGGAGATTTCTATTATTAATGTTATCAGACTCGACCTGGTCATTGACCCAAACGGGATATTAGGTCACTGGGTCACTTATTCAACCGATGAATCATTGGTTAAATCATATTACCTGAGTTAATACATGAAAACCTATATTTTATACATAAAAATGCATAAAAATACTCAAATACAATGTAAAAAATTGTTATGTAAGGCTGCAAACATGTATAGTTTTTGTAGGGATAAAAAAAAATCATATATGATAGAAACATATAGTATATTATAAAAAAATAAACAGAGAAAAAAAAATTCAAGTATCAAATAACCATAATAAAAAAAATAAACAAAGAAAATTAAAATTCAACTATCAAATAACCATATATAATTTCTCTACCAAATATGCTCAACTAACTATGTTTAATAATTATAAGAAATTTACCAACAACTCTTGCCATAAAAATGAATTTGTAAGGAATCAATATTGAAATTTGAGGCTAAAGCTGAAATTTGAAGGTCAATATATACCAACAACTCTTCTCATAATCTTCTTTTAATCTATTGTTCCGCAAATTGCTTCAATCTTTGAACTGAAATTTGAGTTCACTATAAAATAGTATACCACTAACAAACAAAACTACAAATTTTTTTGAAAGAAGTTCCATACTATTTTTTTTTTTTTTTTTGATAACATAGTTCCATACTATTTTAAGACAAGATGAGACAACTTTTTTTTTTTTTAATGCCGATTTTGATGACCCCACTGGGTCACTGGTTTTGATAAAACCCTACCGGTTCAAACCAATTTTCACCGGGTCCGATAATTAACTCGAATCAGTGAGATGACCAATTCACCACATTTCGAATCGACCTAATTGTGAGAACCGATTCCGCTAAATAATGCTTTCATAAGAATCACTGCTTAAAGGTAAGACGAAAAAATATATCCAGTTCTGGTTTTCTGCGCTGCGAATATAGATTCCAAATGCCTCTCTTCCATAATGGAAAAATCAGCAACAATAAAAAACAGTACCAGCTACTAACCAGTCAAGCACTTCATATACAAGAAAGCTGTTCTAGTTATTAAAAAGTTCTTTAATTTATACGACTATACAAACCCTACAATTTATAACCTAGTTCCAATAATACAAACTCTTCATGTCCACAGAATGCTCATCCGGTCTCATTCATCTTGGACTATTGTGTAGCCGTGTTGCCTTTGCACACCATGAACTTATGTATAAGGGGACAGATAAATTCAACCCCATTAAAGCAAATTGATGTTCCCTCTTGCATGACCCAACATATGATCTATGCATTAATGGTCTAGCTAACAATAAAAAATATAAAACAGGCTAAAGTGAGCTTATAACTGGCTAGGTATCAGTAAATTTCAAAATTGTCATTAAATACATGTGCTATTAACATTGTGTTATGCATTTTCCCCCCTCCTGAAGAGGAAGAAGTTTTGTATTATCTTTATGCTCCTAGTTTGATGGCAGTATCGATTGCGTCGACTGTGTTATTTTGTTGTCCCCAAAGCTGTGCATATCTTCCTGCATTCGATAAGAGCACCTCATGGGGTCCTTGCTCGATCACTTTTCCATTTTCCAAAACAATGATCTGAACATTGGTAAAAAAATCTTTTAATAGAAGTAATATATTGTCAAAGAGAATACACATACCAAATATATATAATATTAAGGGAAAAGTTTAAAAAATCTTTTAGAATCACTTACCCTCTTACGGTTTTTTTTTAATCATTCAACCCCCCCACCCCCCCTCTAAAAAAGAATCACTATCAGACTATCTATTATTGTGCTCCTATTCACCTTTCTCAACTTCTTAAGATGAAAATTTCATAGTGTAAAGCTTTTTTTATCCAACTTCACAGTAAATTATATATTGCTAATTTATTATAATACTAAGGCAAATAATCAAACATATATTACATGTTCAAACCCTTAACTCCATTAGTTATCATAAATCTACTGTCATTAAATTCGCTTTTGTTTATAGTGTCTTGGCTTAGAGAGATGTGTCCAACATATAGATGACAGCAAGAAACAAAATCAGTTATCTGTGTTTTGGTTAGCACTGTTGTCTGACTATGAATAGTGTAACAATTTTCTCAGTAATAAGGATCATTAAATTTGTAATAACGGCTATACATTGATATAAAATCTAGGAAACTCAGTACTGCTCAAGGACAATAACCTACAGAGAGAGAGCTTACCTCATCACACTGCATTGCAGTGGTAAGCCTGTGAGCAATGAATATGGAAGTTCGATTATTTGCTAGTGATTTCAATGCACTTAAAATCTCTGCTTCTGTTGTGCTGTCTAGAGCACTTGTAGCCTCATCACACAACCTAAGAGCAAAACAAGACAAGCACAAGCAATTAAAATAAATTGGAAAACTTAGTAAATTTAAAAATACTAGCCAGTTAGCTACACATAACAAAAAAGTGTCTAGCAGATAGTATAATTAGAATACTCACAGAATTGCAGGTGCTTTTAAGAATGCACGAGCTAGGGCAACACGTTGCTTCTCCCCACCACTTAACTATAATAAAAAAAAAAAAAAGGCCACTGTCACTAAAAATTGAGAGTACGTCGTTACATAAACTTTTATTTTCATCATTACGTTTGAAAAAAATTATCCCATTATATTAGTGTATCCAGGATTGTCCCTAGGTACACATCAATCGCCAAAGGATCAAAGTTTACTGACAGGACAACAGAAATCCAGCTATCAGCAATAAATGACAGTGACAATTAACTGGGAGATTTATATTATACTTCTTGAAGTTAAAAACATAATCTGATGTTCATAATGTATGAGACTATGAGTTCCCTTCTTTCTCCACAAGCATGTTAAGATTGTTTAATGTGCAAGTTTTCTGATCAAATTATTACTGCTGCAAACCCACAAGCTTCACACCAACAACATGCCTGTTTGAGTTAAGACTGCATAATTTCTTGTTAAAAAAATAAAGTTGATAGAATAGATTGCAGAGGATTTATGGTAATTAAAAATAGTAAAGCAGAATTACGTTTGCAGTATAATGCAGGGATATTTTTTAAAAAATTTTGAGCCCCAACAGTTTAAATTGATTTCATATTGTTGATTGTCGAATGTGAGAAAATAATCTTGGATGACATTGAATGTGATTTTATCTAAACAGTAACTCTGTCGGCATGGAAATCAATTATGACTTGAATTGTTATATTCACCATTGCAGTGAACAGAGTCTTCACAGTTAATCCTTACAAGGGCATATATTTTTACATCTATATATTCGAGCTCTATCAAATTGCTATGAATTTTCCAAGAAGCATGGAAAACTTGAAAATTTGAAGAATCTTTATTGTAGTTGAGAGTATATATTTGATGGTTTGTATAGTTGAGCCCTGAAATTTTTGTTGTTTTCATTTGATGCATAAGCTGTACATGCATAAGTCATTTCTTCTTTTGAAATTGCAGTCAAGGCACCATGTGTCTTTACAAGTATCTATATTACTGAGAAAAATGGGATTCCCCAAACTGCTAACACATCTTTACTTTACCTAAAACCCCCCTTTTTATTTTTACTATAGACAAAGAGGGGAAAATCATCATTTTTATTTAACAAAGAGGCCCACATTTTACACACACTTTAAGGAACTCCTTTTATAAAATTATTATTTTTTACATATTGCATATTTTAGGTCAGTTTCATATAAAATTGTCATGTTATATAAGTAAATAACATTGGATTTTTTCTCAATACGTGTGTAGATTGTGGGTGCCTCTTCCAGTGACTCGAGATTTGCAATACTATGTCCCTTCATACCCTGAACAAAAAATCATCCAAGAAGGCAAAAACACAACACGGAAAAACATTATCTAAAATAAATGGGGATTTCTATCACCTTGAGCCCTCGCTCTCCCACAACAGTTGAATACTTCTCAGGAAAATTCATGATAGTGTCATGAATTGCTGCTCGCCGAGCAGCTTCATAGACCTGTATGCATATAGTACTAAGCTCAGCACAACTTGGAACATAACAATGGAAACTTGCAAACTGAAGAAGAAAGCAGAGGTATAACATTACTGAAGTTACCTCCTCTTTTGTTGCTGAAAGCCGACCATAGTGAATGTTATGAAAAATTGTATCATTGAATAGTACCTGTTGCACAACCACTCAGGTTTCCACAACTTGCAAGATCTGGCATGGGAAATTATGTGAGATTAAAGATATAGATGCTTCCTTTGACTTACAGTATCTTGTGGAACCACACCAATAGACTTCCGCAAACTCTCAAGGGTTACCTCCCGAATATCTTGACCATCTATCATTATCTGTAAAGTAAAAGTTGTGAATGAGAATGTGAGAGAAAAAGCCATCTTAATGATAAAAGACAACAACAACAAAGCTTTATCCTAGTAACTTAGCAGGGTCAGTTACATGGATCAAACAATGCCATGGGGTTCTGTCAAAAGCCCTAATGATAAAAGACAATCTGCTCACAACAAGTAACTGATACAGTGCCTGCTAATACTGACTGTAGAAATTCATCCAAATAAATGTTCTAATAAAGCAAAGAGAAGTTTTACCAAGAAACAATGGCAAGATTCTGATGTAATTCATATTTCATGCATAATTACTAGTAGATACGTGCAACATCTGGCATCCAGGTTATGCATTGCCTAATTTTTTTTAAGTAAATTCCATGCCAAGGATCACTTATTGTAAACTTTCATATGCTATTCCTGGATTATGCTGTAATAATGTTCTTTATGCTCTAAAGGAACACTCATCAAGCACAATCAACATTTAGGTTCATTACTTGCTATATACCCATACATGACTAAGTAACCAAAGTAATTGCAAGTCTATAAACACACCTTTAGAGCCATATATATTCACTTGTTAAAGAACTACGCAACTATAAATCCAAATGCAACAGAATAACACTGAATGTTATACATATCATGGCAATATAGTGGAAAATGACTAGAGAGTAGATTCATTGGTTGATTTCTTACACTTCCAGATTGAGGATCAAAAAACCTGAATAGCAATCTAAGTACGGTTGATTTTCCTGTCAAGGATGTAAAATTTGAAATATGTCATAAATGCATATGTATTATAGAGCAGAGAATATTCACAAGCCAGAAAATACAACATTTAAATTTGAATAGAGACAATTCATGTTTAGAAGTCGGTATGCCATACAAGAATCAAAGGACAATAAGCTTCAATATCATAGGGAAACCCTTTAAAAAAAAAGATTCAGTTCAAATGAGATTGGCCATATAGCAAATATGAAAGCTTTTCTCCCAACTAGCTAAGATTGTGATGGGCCTGAGCAGAAGAATGTGATCAAAGTTTACAAACGTAGGAGCAAAGGAGAAGCCCAAGTCCATGCCATGGGGAAAATAACAATCAGGGGATTAAAGAGGATAAAAAGAGAGAGCCGGTTACTGAGTATGCTACGTGGCAAGCAATGAGTGGAGAAAACGAATGCAATGATAGTGGAACACGAGAATGGAAGAAAGAGGAATACAAGGCAGCGAAGGACAATGATGATGAGGAGCTTGAATATTCTCAGAATGGGTAAAGCAACTGGAAAGGGTATATCCAAGAGCTAGGAGAGGGGGTCTGTGAGAAGGGAGTAGGGATTTCCTCACTGTAATAGAGGAATAGGGTATTTTCTTACTTTTTATGTATGGTTGTTGTTATTTGTAATAGAGAAATAATTTGTTTGCTTATGTTATTTGTAATGGTGAAAACATTTTCGTGTATGTAAGGAGTGAACCTCCATTTTATTCGATCAATTTATAGCATAATTTTTGGTACCATCATTGTGGTATCAATGCACTTTCGATCCTTGAGAGTGCTTTATGGTACGTACACGTATGGAGAATAGAGTCAAGGAGGTGGAACAACGCACAGAAAGACCGGAAGTATAATAACCCTAACCCAATTAATTAGCAAATTACATGTAATTAAATAATTAAGCATGTTTTAGTGAGTAAAATTAAGTATAAGGCTTAATGAAATGAATCTGAGTCACTTTGGAGTTAAAAAGTGTACTCAGTGAAAATTAAGGGGTATAAATGGGTACTAGCGAGAGTGCCCAAAATATAAAAAAAAAATTGTAAATATTCCTAGAATAATATTCCAGACTTTTGGGTAAAGCTTAGTAATTATTGGAGTTAAATAGATAGATGAACTAATACCCACATGTTACCACTTAACTTATGTTAAGTGATAAAATGCAAAGAGAACCCACTCCCCCCAGAAACCCGTCGACAGAAAGGAGGAGAAGAGAAGAGAGGGAGAAGAGAGGAAGAAGGAGGGAAAGCCTAGAGATTGCTAATCTCAACCATTTTGAGTGATTCCAAAGCCTAAACCACTCCAAATCTCCTCCTCTTTCATAATCCTAGCTTTGTTTTGAGTGGGGAGCATTGTGGAGAGGGATATTGGCTCTCAAAAACTCGCCCATTTGGCGAAATTTGGGGTTTTGAGTGCTTCAACCTCCATTGAAGCTTGAGGAGCCATCAATCCTTGGTTGTGTGATCATTGGTGGTAAGATTCTAACCTTGAACCTCATGATTCCTTGAAATTGCATGAGTTAGGGTTTATGAATAGTGTTTTAGGGTTTTGATGGAATGTTGTTAAGTTAGCTATGTTCTAGGAAGAATGGAACTTAGAGCATGTTGTGGAAAATGCTAGGAACTGCGTTTAATCGGTGAAAATGAGCTTAGATAGCTAAATGAGTATATTTGTGAAATGGCAAGAATATGATGCTTGATATTGGATTTCTTGCATTGTTAATAAATGGTTTGGTTTGGTTGGTTGTTGATTATGCCTTGGTGTTGTCTAGGATTGAGGCATTTGGACCAACCGTGAGTGATCAACCATTGGAGCAAGCTATGGAGCTTGATTAGCTCCATCGGATAGGTGAGTTCATGCTTATGTTTGGTATGAATTGTATAGCTTGGTTGATAGCTATGAGATGTTATTGGATGCAATATGTGTTGATTGCATTAAACCTTGTGTAGGTTTTGTTTGAGAAGTGGAGTATTTTAATTGACTGACTGTGGAACCTGTTGGTGGTGAACAAAGGTCGAGTTGAAGCTTGAGGTAAGCCTTCGGACCTTGGGTGTAATTCCCTTGACTGTTCCACCAAGCCCTGAAAGGGTAGAGGTTGTGATTGTGTATATAAATGCAATAAAATAGTGTAATGCTTTGTTATACGTATGTGTATGCATTTGGTGTGGCATAGGATGATGTTTCCCTATGTTGGTATGTTGCATGACGATGCGTAAATCATACTTGGTAGTTAGCTGGCCAGTAGGACTATTTGCATCTGAGTTTCCTTAGGACAGCTTGAGAGCTCGAGGGATTTCTCCTGAAGATGTATTGCACTTTGCATAGATATGTATTTACTGCATTATTATTGTTATTGCTATTACACTGATATGGAACTGTGGGGTGGAGAGATGCTCCAAGGACCCCTGGTTTACTGGATATATTCGTATATCTCACCCCGTGTTGTGGGGACCCCCTTTCAGGTAAGGATGCTGCAGGAGCCACCAGTGGCAAGTGGCCATATTTGGATTAGCATATGCATGAGGATCCTATATTTTGATATTATACATGTTGTTTTGTAGCTCACATGTATAGGATTGTAATTCATAGACCATTGATAGATGTATGATTTGTATATTGGAATGGACTTAGCCTATGCTCATGCCTTTGGTCATCTCTTTTGTTGATGGGAGCCAAGGGAATGATCATAGTGTTTTGTAAGCTAAGTTCCATGGATTGTAATGAACATGATTTGTAATTGATGAGTACTTTAAGTTTAATATATGTATGTTCATTAAGTATTGGATTGTTGAACTGGAAAATAAATTAGGTACCTAGTGCTAAATTGGGAAATGTTGAGAAAACAAATACATCTTGTCCGTTTGACCAATTTTCACACCCAATGTGATGGAATTGGACTTTGATGTCTCTATGGAAGCTGTAGACATTTCTCTTAGCTTTCCATAGAGACCAAAATGGTGTAATTTGAGTGAGTATAGCTCAAGTTATGAGTGGAAAACCATAGGTAGGTTAAATGACCTTGTTTTGGGTCACCCAGCCCTGTGGATGGCGCCTGGGGCGCCAGATTCACGCTTGGGGCGCCAACTTTCTGTTTTCCCACGCTCTGGGCGTGGATCTCACGCTGCGGGCGCGGGGGTTCTGGAGGTTTCGCACCCTTTTCTTAGAAAATGCATAACTTTGGCTACGGTGCTCCGATTTGAGCGCGGTTTGAACCCACGTGTAGCTAATGAAAAATACTATAACATAGTAGAAGATGGGAATCATAAAAGGAGTTTAGAATTAATTTGATAATTAAAGTGATGAAGACATTTAACGACGTATTGTCAAGTAGAATGAGAATATAATATTAAGTTTAGTCCCACTATTCCGCGAAGTATATATAGTTATGATCACGCACTTGGTTATTTAAATCCGGCTTGTTTAAAAAGGAAAAATTTATCCGGTTTTCTAATTGAACCAATGTGATTGTAACTGCGCTTAATGTCGTACGCAATGATAACAATCCGGTTCTAGAACGGGGTGTTACAGGAAGGACGATTGATTAGGGTGGAGGAGTCAGTTTGCCAACTCAGGGAGTCTATCCTTGAGTTCATTGATCGAGTAGATCAAAGAGAGGCAGGAGCGAGAAGACGCTCTGAGACAAACGAGGAAGGAGCCGGAAACAGAACACCTCGGAATGAAGGAAATCATAGGGACAAAGAGAGAATGAGGCGTGTCGAAGTACCTTACTTCACTAGAGAGGACCCCTATAGGTGGATCTTCAAAGTCGAACGTTATTTTCGTGTCAACCGTATTCCAGCTGAAGAACAGGTAGAAATGGCGGCGATATGCTTGGAGGGCAGAGCACTAAGCTGGTCTAATGGTAGGAACCCAGAAACCCAATGGTCGATTCGATAGCATTTAGGGCAGCAATTCTACGACGATTCCATATCTCTTCATCTGGGAATCCATATGAGGCGTTAATGGGCTTAAGACAGAATGGGTCAGTGGCAGAGTACAGAGAACAATTTGAGGTGTTCTCTGCTCCTCTAAGACATGCAGATAAGAACATGATGCAAGTTGCCTTCCTGATAGGTTTGAGGGAGGAAACTCGCGCTGAAATTCGTTTACATTCTCCTAGCGATTTGGGGCAAATGATGAAGCTAGCACAGAGGGTGGAGGAGAAAGAAACGATACTGGGAAGAAATGGGTCGTTTGTGGGCAAAGTGGGAACTGGGTCAGGAAGTGGATCCGGGTTTTTGGGTCGTTCAGCACTTACTAACAGAGACACACGAAATGGGCCATTAGTGGAAGCACAACAGAATCGAAATGGGCCACAGATATCATCCAACATCGTAATACCCAAGGTGAAGGGAGAAATCAACATTCAATGGCAAACAGGAACCTTAATCGATCCATATGGGGAATAGCTGACCAAAGCAACTCCACCCAAGGCAGCGCGACGACGGCGAGTGGCGACCAACGGGGAATGCAATTCAGACGGCTCTTACAAGAAGAGTACGAAGATTGCCGAAGACGCAATCTTTGTTTCCGATGTGATGCACCATTTTCTCCGGGACATGTGTGTCAAGACCCTCGACTGAATGTGATGATTTTGGGGGAAGGCTCGGACTTACTAGAAAAAGAAATTATCGCGGGGGAAGGAGAAGCTGTAGCGATGGATGAAACTTTACAATTAGGTGCTCATAGTGTGGTAGGTCTCACAACCAGTCGCTCATTAAAATTGTGGGGCCGTGTGAAAGGACGGGGGAGTGTTGCTTATAGATACTGGAGCTTCACATAATTTCATCGCTCAAGTGGTGGTGGAAGCTCTGTGTTTAGCCATGGACACAAGTTGGGAATTCATAGTGCAGGTTGGGTATGGTCACAAGGTTCAAAGCTCTAGCCGCTGTAAAGGGGAAGTGCTGGAACTACCTAATCCATCTGTGATTCAAGATTTTTTTTGTCTTTAACCTTAATGCAGTGGATTTAATACTGGGCTTTGAATGGTTAGAAGGATTGCACATGGTCCATTAGACCCATTGTGTGGATCTATAGTAGACAGACTTACCTTGCACTTGCAAGAGAATGATTTAATCAATCGAACTTGTGAGTTGTGACCTTTAGGTCACATGGCAACAACACTAACCGTTATGCCAAGGCTCAATAAAGGACACAATCTATCTTAGGAAGTTGGATTATTCCTCTAAAACCGTAGGCAGCTGGAAAAAATTTCGAATGACAATCTGCAAGTAAAATAATTTAATAAAAAATAGAATTTCATCATGCTGAACCTTACCACTTCCACTAGTCCCAACAATTGCCACACTTTTACCAGCCGGCACAACAAGTGATACTCCATCTAGTATCTTTCTTTCTGTGAGGTAACTGAAGTGATAGCATGCATCATACAATCACACAAATATTAGTCAAAACTCAAACGTAAAATTTGATCAGCATGTTAGCTTTGTAATAGAGGTGCAAATGTTATATTTTGTCAAATACAAGCTTCCATGCCACTTATTCTGTAACTTATTAGCAAGTAACATCTAACTAAAATGATTAATTATTAATATGAACCAGGCGCTACCATTTATCTACTATTTTTTATTTTCTAATAAAAATGAAGAAGTAGGTAATCAGGTTTTGTTTAATTCTAACAAATATATCCATACCAACTATCTCTCCATCCAAGTTCTTACCCAAAAGTTTGAACGAGGCATAAAATCCATATAGTTACATCTACAATTTTTTGTTAAATCATCTTTATATATTCAAATATTTATTGATTGATATCAGCATAAAAATAAGAAAAATGTCAAATTGTTAGCATGTAATTTTACTGTTTTATGGCAAAATAACTTTACCAGAGAGAAAAGTAAAGCACAATTAGGGATAAGATATCCTCCAAAACAGAACATGAAAAGAACAAGAAAGAAAAAGAGTCAGGACTGTAGAAGGCTGGTCAATCTCTCTACATAACAAACAAGGAAACTCCCTTGAAACAACATAAGCAGAGCACCAAAGAGAAACCAAACAAAAAGATAAAAAAAGGTAAGAGAAAAAAAGGGTAAAGCATATTTTGGAGCAAATTGAGACGCTTAAAAATTCATCATTACACTCCAACAGAAGACACCAAAAAATAACAAAGACTACATGCTTCCACAAAACTATGTCCTCAGTTTCCTTTTGTTAGCTTCAAAATAAACCAAAAGAAATTTCTCTAAAAGTCAAGGGAACACCCAGACTTATATACCAAACAAAAAATTTATTCCAAAGGATTTAGAATCATATAACATTAAATTCATCTATACTGATTTTCTTTGTTTTAATCATATCTCCACTCTGCATAATTCATGCGTTAAAAGTTTTCAATCATTTCCAGACTCACATTATTTGATTCTTCTCATTCTGCTAATCCAGATAGGAGTATTTGGACTCTAAATTCTTTTGGCATGTTTTCTTGTAAGTCCTTTCAATTTCTAATTGACTCTCCTAATCATATGAAGTTCCTTCTTGATAAACCCATTTGGACGTACAAAGCACCCTCTTAAGTAAAGTATTTTGTTTAGACAATTGTACTTATTATTAGGATCCATAGAAATGAATTATTAAAAATATGTAGGCCTCACACTTCTCTTTATCCTTATATGTGTTTTATGTGCAGTTCTACCTCAGCCAAAGAAGAACAATTACATTTGCATTATAAGACAACTAGTGGTGGATAATCATGGATCTAAATTGATCTGATGATCAGACCAGATCGAGCTGAACCAATCTGTTACGATCCTACTCCAAGTTATGGGACTTGGAGTCCCATATTGGTTATATGGGTAACTAATGTGGGGTTTATATGGACTTTGAGCTCTCCTACCTCTTGAGTTAACTTTTTGGATAAGGCTCTCCCAAGATTCGTACCAATTGGTATCAGAGACTACCACTATGTCTCCCAGTTGCAATGGAGCAACGCAAGTGGTGACGCTGGCATTGTAGTGTTCTGCCCAGGGATAATAAAAAAACTAGCACAAAACTAGCCCGCATAGGTGTCGGGGCTGCGGAGCGTGGAGAAATGTTACAATCCTACTCCAAGGTATGGGACTTGGAGTCCCACATTGGTTATATGGGTGACCAATGTGGGGTTTATATAGACTTTGGGCTCTCCTACCTCTTGAACTAGCTTTTGAGGTGAGGCTCTCCCAAGGTTCGTATCCCAATCCATTAAAAACGGGTTAGGTTATCTAAGTTACTTTTGGTCAACCCAACCTCAAACAGTTTGGATACCAAATTATTCATTTTTCAACCCGATTTAAATCTAAACCAATCAATCACTTTAGCTTTAAATTTTCTTTAAAATATTATTTTAGTTATTTTTAAAACATTTAAATATAAAATGATGACATTTTGGTGGAATTTTTTTAAAAGAAAAAAAAAATCTCTACCCAATCATGACTTGAACCAACCCACCTATAATCGCGTTGGATTGGTTTGGGTAGATAAAAAAAAATTCTCTCAACCAGACAAAATTTGATCAGTTCAGTTTTTATTTTTGTCTCAAACAGACTCAACCCAACCCATGATCACCCCTAAATGAGGCTGCTTTCTTATAGAACATTTGTTTAGGGTTCTTGGTGGGTACAGAGTGTGTCCTTTTTTCTCTGGAGCCATTTATGGTCAGTTATAATTAGAATAAATTTTTTTTACAGCATGCAGTTTATGTAGCCCTTTGGTATATTTGGTCAGAATGAATGCTTGGATCTTTAAAGGTGTCTCCATACCCCAAAACTTGTTACATGATTGAATCATTTTTATGACTCCTCTTTGGTGTTCTCGTGGCTATATCTGAATTCTTGATTCTTTCCTCTTCATTGTTATGACTTGTTTTTCTGTTTTGGAGGATATATTATCCTCCTTATATGTTTAGGAGGATATCATTCTTGGGTCACTACCTAAAAGAGAGTTGGTCCTTGATATGACGTTAGTCTTATGACCAAGTGGACAAGAGTTTGATTCTTGCAACCCTATCCCTATTCTTCATAAGGTAGGCTTATGAATTGTCAACACTTCAAGACCATAAAACTCTTGCATGACAATGTGTTAGAGATTGTAGAAAATCAGAATTCAAATATGTTTCCGTTTTTATTTCCTATTAATTAGGATTGATTATGATTGATTAAGATTGATTATGATTGATTAGAATTGATTGTGATTAGGATTGATTAGTCATCGCTGAGTCGTTCTTAGCGATTCTTTCTTGTATAAATACACACTCATGTAATTTATTCAATATCAATATACATAAAATTTTTTCAATATGGTATCAAGAGCAGGTTCGTTCCTACCCTAAATCAGCCACCTTCAAGGCTGAAACCATCCCAAAACCACCCAAACACAATCCCACCTAAACCCAAATCCTAGAAAACCATACCTACAGACCTCCAATCAAGAAGGTGGAGGTATCATTCAACTCAGAAGGCTCCGACGAGTTGAACGCAGCCGGACCCGTCGCCGTCAGACCGCCCACGCGCGGCCCTTCTTCGGCGCGTGTAGTCCACGCGCCGCCTTCCCGGACTCTTTTTCCGGCGCGAGCTGCCCAGATCACCTCGTCGGCCTCCTCTGTCCCTGTTCCAGGTGTCAGATATCAAATCGGAGAAAAAAAAAATTTGGGTCCACGGTCAAACCTTCACTTTCTATTCATGGCTTCCTCGAATCGTTCTTTCGCCTCCTCATCTGCCCCAAATTCTCAGCCCTCTGAAGACAACTTAGGTTTGCAGGTCACTAATCACCGGTTGAACGGTAACGGAGAGTTATGCTGGGAGAAAAGGAGTCGCTTGATAAGTCTGATGATATGTCTGCATTAGCTGCCAACCGTACCATTGACCGTTCCTCTGGAGAATCAAAACGGGATGGTCGTCCATGGTGCACCCACTGCAATAAAATTGGTCATACCCGCGAGAAATGTTGGGAAATCCACGGGAAACCTGCAAATTGGAAGCCCAAAGGACAAAATAAAGGTCGTGCATATCAGGTCTCTACTGATGACAAGGTTGATGAGCCTCATGCATCCTCTGACTCTGATGGTGTCTTTCTTAGCAAGACTCAGTTTGAACAACTTCAGAGACTTTTGACTCAACCTCCTAAGGCCACTAGTAATGTGGTCCAGAAAGGTACAGCTTTCCATGTTGATAGTCAAAATCATTGGATCCTTGATTCTGGAGCCTCTGATCATATGACAGGTAATCTTGGCTTGTTTTGTTCATACACTCCATATTCTGAACCTTCTCGGGTCAAGATCTCCGATGGCAGTTTTTCCCACATTGCGGGACACAGAACCATTAAACTTTCTAAGCTGATTAATTTGACATCAGTTCTTTATGTTCCTTCTCTGGCTTGTAATCTCATTTCCATTAGCAAGCTAACTTCTGAGTTGCATTGCTTTGCTAAATTCTTTCCACATGGTTGTGTTTTTCAGGAACAGGACTCGGAGAGGATGATTGGCAGTGCTAGAGAGGATGGTGGACTTTACTACTTTGAGGAGGATGTGACTCATGAAGCTGTTTTCGTAGAAAAAAACTCTATGTTTCCTTTTGATTCATGTAATGATGTTATGCTGTGGCACCGTAGGCTAGGCCATCCAAATTTTATTTATCTTCAGAAATTGTTACCAAACTTATTTATTAATAAAAGTCCTAGTTTGTTTTCTTGTGATATTTGTCAACTTTCCAAGCATACTCGTGCTCATTATCCTTCTAAAGTTCACCATGACTCTTCTCCATTTTCCTTAATTCATAGTGACATATGGGGTCCAGCCCGTGTTAAAAATATTTCAGGTACTCGATGGTTCATTACCTTCATTGATGACCATTCCCGAGTCTGTTGGGTATATCTTCTAAAGGACAAGTCCGATACTGCATCCGTGTTTAAAAAATTTCATGCCATTGTTCAAACCCAATTCCAAGTTGCTATACAAATTCTTCGTACAGATAATGGCAAAGAGTATCTTAACTCTATTCTTGGAGAATATCTTTCCCAACATGGCATCCTTCACCAAAGCTCGTGTCCTGACACACCCCAACAAAACGGAGTTGCAAAAAGAAAAAATCGACATCTCCTTGAAGTTGCTCGGGCTCTTATGTTTACCACGAGTGTTCCTAAATATCTTTGGGGAGAGGCCGTTCTCACTGCCTCGTATCTAATAAATCGAATGCCATCTCGCATTCTAAAATTTCAGTCTCCTCTTTCTAGTCTTTTTCGTACCTTCCCTTCCTTCCGAGGCGTCTCCTCCTTACCTCTCAAGTTATTTGGTTGCGTTGTATTTGTCCATATTCCCTCCCATCAACGGTCTAAACTTGATCCTAAGTCTCTCCAGTGTGTCTTTATTGGTTATTCTCCTACTCAACGTGGCTATAAGTGTTATTCTCCCTCTCTTCGTAGGGTCGTTGTCTCTATGGATGTCACTTTTTCTGAGAATGACCCTTTCTTCCCCTTGAGTTCTCTTCAGGGGGAGTCTATAGGTGTAGATGAAGATCAGTCATGGGAACCTATTGATGCCACAGTATTACCTCTACTTTTGGAAACAGGGGGAGCTACAGAATCCTCACCATCAGGAGCCTCCTCAAAATGGGGACAAGTTTATAGCAGGCGAAAGCCTCCTCAAAGTGTGAATAACCCAAAGCCTCTACACTGCCAGGATTCTGAACCATGTTCTAGTTCCAGCACCCCAACACTTGAGTGTCATGGTGAAAATGATCTACACTTGCCCATTGCTCTCAAAAAAGGTACTTGATCTTGTACTACTCATCCTATTTCTAATCGTATTTCATATGGAAAGTTGTCCCCAGGGTTCCGTGCTTTCAATACTATGTTGGATAGTACAAAGATACCGAGAAATATACATGAGGCTCTCGATGATAAAAAATGGAGGGATGCTGTCTTTGAAGAAATGAATGCTTTAGAAAGAAATGGAACTTGGGATATAGTGACCCTACCTAAGGGAAAACAGGCAGTAGGATGCAAATGAGTGTTTACAATAAAATTCAATGCAGATAATAGCATCAACAGATACAAGGCAAGATTGGTTGCAAAGGGATTCACTCAGACTGATGGGATAGATTATCATGAGACTTTTGCTCCGGTTGCTAAAGTCAATACCATCCGAGTTCTCTTATCTCTTGCTGCCAACCTAGATTGGCCTCTGCAACAATTAGATGTGAAGAATGCATTCCTAAATGGTGACTTACATGAAGAAGTCTATATGGATCCTCCACCTGGTTTTGAAAAGGGAAATGGATCAGTGAGTAAACTAAAAAAGTCTCTATATGGATTGAAACAGTCTCCCAGAGAATGGTTCGACAAATTCACACAAGCAGTCAAAAGAAGAGGCTTCATTCAAGCACAGACTGATCATACTCTCTTCCACAAACACTCTAAGGATGGTAAAATTGCTATTCTTATTGTATATGTAGATGATATAATTCTTACAGGTGATGATATTGAGGAATTGAACATCTTGAAGAAATTTCTAGCAGCTCAATTTGAACTCAAAGACCTTGGCACTCTCAAATATTTCCTTGGTATGGAAGTTGCTAGGAGCAAAACAGGCATCACTCTCACACAAAAGAAATATGTTCTAGATCTTTTGTTGGAAACAGGAATGTTAGGGTGTAAACCTGTTGAGACACCTGTGGAACCTAATACCAAGTTAGGTATTGAAGATGGAAATGAGGTGGATAAAGAACAATATCAGCGATTGGTTGGTAAACTAATTTACTTATCTCATACGCGTCCTGACATTGTCTTTGCGGTGAGTATGATTAGTCAATTCATGCACTCACCCAAGGATAAGCATCTTAGTGCAGTCTATAGGGTGCTTAGATACCTCAAGAACACTCCAGGAAGAGGATTATTCTTTAAAAAGGGGTATAAAAGGACAATTGAAATCTACACTGATGCAGATTGGGCAGGCTCATCAGTAGACAGGAGATCTACCTCAGGCTATTGCACCTATGTGTGGGGAAATCTTATTACTTGGAGAAGCAAAAAGCAAACAGTGGTTGCAAGAAGTAGTGCTGAAGCAGAATTTCGAGCTTTAGCTCATGGAGTTTGTGAAGGAATCTGGTTGAGAAGACTTCTTCAATAGTTGAAGATTTCATATTCCCTACCAATAAAACTATATTGTGACAACAAGACAGCTGTTAGCATTGCTCAAAATCCTGTGCATCATGATCGAACAAAGCACGTGGAAGTTGATCGTCACTTCATCAAAGAAAAATTAGATGATGGAAGTGTGCGTATGATATATGTTCCAACCAAAGAACAAACTGCAGATATCCTTACCAAGGGCCTACACCGTCCAGCATTCGAAGACTTGATTGGCAAGTTGGGAATGATCAACATTTACCTCCCAACTTGAGGGGGAGTGTAGAAAATCAGAATTCAAATATGTTTCCGTTTTTATTTCCTATTAATTAGGATTGATTATGATAGATTAGGATTGATTAGAATTGATTGTGATTAGGATTGATTAGTCATCGTTGAGTCATTCTTAGTGATTCTTTCTTGTATAAATACACACTCATGTAATTTATTCAATATCAATATACAGAAATTTTTTTCAATAGAGATAAAGTCGTTCATGAGCTTCTACCTAAATGCTTGAGCTTCTACCTAAATGCTTAAGCTTTTAGGCGAGTTGAACAATGAGAAAACCAACTAGAAAGAGTGCAAAAGTTAGACAATATAAGCAAGACAACGCAAATACTGAGGAAAAAAATGGTACAATATTCATAGGTATATCCTAAAACTATTCTTTAATGGGCCTATTAAGGACAAATACAGAGATACCCCAAAACACAATATGGCTGCAGGCAATTAAAAAGACAATGAGTTTCCTTAATCTTGCACGGCATCAATCAATCTCCACTAATATCACCATATATGTTAGCCAAAAGTCAATCTATATGAATGGTGTACATTATGTAGTAAAGAGACAATCACACACCCGAAATGTACATTCTCAAATTGGATGTTACCCCCATTAAATCTCAGAGGTATTGCATTGTCTTTATCCTTGATGTCTGCTCTTTCCTGTAATAATAATTATTGAAAAAGGAAACATGCAGTATCAAACAATCAGGCAGGTAGAGAAAATTGCAACATGTCTTTGATTAAATAAAGGTCACAATACAGGCATTACGAACATAGTTACAGAGAAAATGCTTCTTTTGCAATTACTTCATGAAACTCACAAGAACGTAAAAATTTCATCATTAGAAAGAACAAAACCACCCAGAATATTAAACAGAAAAATGAGGAAGAAATAATAATAACACAAATAAGAAGCAACTACACAATTATCCATGTTACCAAAATTTCTAGTAACCCATATCATAAACTCATATATGGTAGTATTTGTCTACTACCCTCTCACGCACGAGTACATAAGGAGGCGAAAGAAAGAAATTTCATAATCAACAATACACATTTAAATTTAACTATTGCAGTATTTTAAAGTTCCATGGAGAAGATACCTCAAGTAACTGAAACATGGACTTCATGTCAATTAGACTCTGTATAGTCTCACGATAAACACTACCAAGGAAATTGAGTGGAAGAGATAGCTGGAAGAGAAGCCCATTCACCATCACCTACATATTGAATTTAGATTATAATCCAGATCATTATTAATAAATAAGGATTGAATTTATAATATTTAACTTCAATATTTTTGAAACCCCGTTTTGCGAGGATAGAGACAAGGATTTCCCTCACCCCAACCCTCGCAAGTCGGGATTTTATAGGGAGAGGTTTTTATTTTATAAAAAAAGAAATTTAATAAGAGAAGATAATTACAAAGAGATGGGACTATGGGAGGATTAGGGATCCTCCTAAATGTAAAAGTAAACACGAACATCAAAGAACAAATAAAAACTTCAATGAAGAAAAACTACCCAGGCCCTAAACCCAGAATTTAATTTGATGAAACTTTACCAAATCGCCAACAGTCATTGTGCCATCCATGATACCATGAGAACACAGCACCATTGCTGTTGAAAGAGCAGTACTAAATATAATATTTTGACCAAAGTTCAACAAAGCAAGACTGTGTTGTGTTTTCAGAGCAGCATCCTCATACCCTGAATAATGACATTACAAACCACAAAAGCACAAGCAATACCAATTAAACAGAAGAACTAAGAAAATAAGCATGGATGAAATTAGAGAAGCTTCCATAACTGTTGTTTTGTTGATAAAATAAGAAATAAAAAGATTAAAGGTAGTAAAAAGGACATAATGGAACAGAAAGAATAAAAGAAATTGTCAGTTAACAGAGGATCAAATTTCAAACACTTACATTAACACATAGCTCATTAAAACTGTCTCCAAATTCTTTATTATTTTGTTTCATTTGATAAAATATATTCATGAAACTTAGTTAGTATTAAATTTCTTCAGATTTTTTTTCAAAAATAGACTTAAAGGTATAAAATCTTTTTACATAACTTACAATCAATTAAAGCCTTCAATATGTAGTATAAATAATTTTGCATGACAGAATTGGCAAGAAAAATTATAAAATGAATATTTTGAAGATAACAAATTTTTCTTTACTTATGAAAAAATTAAATAATTGTGTTTTTAATAAAGCATCTAATTAAAGGAGGAAATATACACTGTTCATTACTACTTACTAGTGGTGTTGAAACTATGGGAATTTGATGGAAAAGGAGAGAAGAGAATTGGTCCAAGGACCAAGGGCACACCCAGCGTTCATCAAAAAGGCCAAACAATGTATTCCATAGAGACCATACAAAAAATTAGACATCCCAAACACTACTAAATGCTGGGAGACAACAAAATGGGGCCTTAACAGAAAGATAACACAGCAAGAATGTGGCTGGAATGACACAGCCATAAAAAATATTGGACTGTGATGTGGCCAATGATGAAGAGACACTGATAGTAAGACATGCAACAGACCACTAGAAATATGTGATACGTTCGTGGGCAGGGGCAGATTTGGGAAGGTGTACAAAAGAAGGCAGAAACAACATGAAGGGATCCTGAATGATGAGTCAGCAACACTGAGCACATTTGGTGGGAAGGCTGCTGACGTGGATAGTGAGGTGCGTCAGGTGCATCACGTGGACAGTAACCGAATGTAACAAAGGGAGGTCACGCTTCCAGCAAAGGGGTGTTATTACAATTACTGAGTTTGTTACATATAGGGGTAGGGAGCGTGTGAATAGGCATCTTTGGAATTTGGCAAGTTGGGCATCCTTTTAGGGTGAATTGGGAGAGAACCAGACCTCTCTAATTGTTCTGGGTAGTACATCATTTAGCAGCTATTTCTCATTGTGAATTGTTTCACATTATCATTACGTATTTCCCATACTTGTAATTTTGCTTTCAATTACTTGTAACTTCACAGTTGGAGAATGTTAATGATATATTGTTGATTAAGAGGCTGAGTTAATAACACATTTACAAATTCCATCAGTTTTCATTCTATTAATCTCTGATACCTATCAATTGGTATAAGAGCCTATTCGATCCCAGGGAGAACTTGAATGGTGGTGACGCGCAGTATGGAGGCTAGATTTGACGAACTATCCGAAAGGGTGAGAAACACGGAGGCGAGTCAGGCGGAAATACTGAGAAGGTTGGATGCAGTGATAAATATCAGAACGGCAGGACAATTTAACACCGAAGGAACGGGCTCGACGGGAACCAACGGTGGTACTGGGGGAAATTTCTTAAATGCACAGGAAAGGAAGTTAGAGATTCCTGTTTTCTCCGGGGAGGATGTCTTCGGATGGTTGAATAAGGTGGAGCGATACTTCCGAGTAAACGGATTAACAGATGAGGAGAAATTACCAGCGGTATTATTGGTGATGGAAGGAGAAGCTTTAAATTGGTTCCAATGGTGGGAGATTAATTCCCCCAACGCAAACTGGGCACGTTTCAGGACGGACGTTTTGAGCCGATTTCAACCGGAGATGGAGGATAACCCTTATCGTGCTCTGTTCACGCTAAAACAAGTTGGGAGCGTGGCTGAATACAGGGTAGCTTTTGAGAAAATAGTAAGTCACTTGAGGTTCGAAGATGAAGAAGTGCTTCGAGGGGCGTGGCTCAACGGCTTAGCTGATAGTCTTCGAGAAGAGTTGCTCATGCATCCCATGAACAGACTCTCCGAGATGATGAAGCTCGCCACGAAGATAGAACGGAGGAACCAAGCGTGGGTTGCTGAGGGAGTTGGACGAGTGGGCTTGAGTAATGGAATTGGGGCTAGTAGATGGGCCCAAACCACCAGAAGCGGATCGGGTTATGGATCGGCCCGTTTTTCTAATTCGGGTCAACCCAACTTAAGCGGTCCAAAGACACCTGCGATGGAAGCCTCTACACACTCAGCCACTACGAAAGCAAGCTCCAATACGCCAAGCTCTCACCACGGAAGTCCTACCCAGATGGAAAACCAAGCAAGTTCAGGCGGGCGGAGTTTTGGCCGGCGATTACCACAAGCGGTGATGCAAGAGAGATCGCGTTTAGGTCTCTGTTTCAAGTGTGAGGAGCGATGGAATCCAACCCATCGATGCAAGGTGCGACAGCTACAGGTGCTCATCGTAGACGAAGAAGGAGATGAAGGGAACGAGTTAGAAGGGGGAGCTGACGACATAACCGCAGCAGAGCAGCAGGAAGGAGAGGAGGCTCTCCAAATATCCATGCACAGTCTTTTGGGGCTATCCTCAAACCAAACATTGAAGCTGTGGGGAACTGTTGGGGGCGAATCAGTGGTGACCTTGATTGATTGTGGAGCTTCGCACAACTTCGTCAGCAAAAGCGTGGCGGATAGGTTGGGGCTGAAGGTTGATGATACACCCCGGTTTTGGGTTGAGGTTGGCGACGGTCATAGGGTGTCTTGCCAAGGTGTGTGTAGACAGTTACCCTTGGAGTTACAGGGGCATCAGATTCGTCAAGATCTACATCTGTTCGAGTTGGGAGGAGCGGACGTGGTATTAGGGTTGGAATGGCTAACGGGTCTGGGAGAAATCAAGGCTAATTTCAAGGATATGACCTTGAAATTTGAACAAGGAGGGAAGGAGGTGTTACTCCGAGGGGATCCCTCTCTGTCTAGGGCGGTGGCATCTATGAAGTCCATAGTGAAGGCGTTATATGATGGAGGCGCTGGATTTCTCGTGGAACAGAGGCCCTATCAGAGCAATGGAGGAGCAATGATTTGGCCAGAGTTGAATGATTTGCTGGAAGAGTTTGCGGATCTTTTTCGTGAACCCAAGGGACTACCTCCAGAGAGAACGCAGGACCATGCAATCACACTGAAACCAGGTAGCCAAATACCTAACAATCGTCCATACAGGTATCCTCCTCATCAAAAATCTGAGATTGAAAAATTAGTTTCTGAGTTGCTGGAAAATGGGTGGATAAGGCATAGCGTGAGCCCATATGCTAGTCCTGTAATATTAGTCAAAAAAAAAGATGGTAGTTGGCGTGTGTGTGTTGATTATAGGGCATTAAACAAGTACATTGTGCCCGATAAATTTCCTATGCCTGTGATTGAAGAGTTACTGGATGAATTAGGAGGGGCTAAGATTTTTTCCAAGCTTGACTTAAAATCTGGGTTTAACCAGATTAGGATGAGGGAGGAGGATATCCCTAAAACAGCTTTTAGGACCCATGAGGGTCATTATGAGTATTTGGTGATGCCGTTTGGTCTCACCAATGCTCCATCAACCTTCCAGGCTCTCATGAATGAAGTGCTACGGCCATTCCTTAGGAAATTTTCCTTGGTATTTTTTGATGATATTTTGATATATAGTCAGGATGAACAGGAGCATATAATACATCTTGCGAAGGTGCTAGAGGCACTTAGACAGCACCAGCTGGTGGCGAATAAAAAAAAATGTGTGTTTGGACAGCAGCAGGTGGAGTACCTGGGCCATATAATTACAAGGGAAGGAGTTATGGCTGATCCCCGGAAAGTAGAAGCTATGGAAAAGTGGCCAGTGCCCTCCAACATTAAGGGGTTGAGGGGGTTTTTAGGTCTTACTGGCTACTACAGGAAGTTTGTAAAAGATTATGGGAAGATTGCAAGACCATTGACTGAGTTGTTGAAAAAAGATAATTTCAAGTGGGGCCCAGATGCACAAGAAGCCTTCGACAGATTAAAAAAAGCAATGATTTCAGTCCCCGTGTTAGCTTTACCCAATTTTCACAAGCAATTTATGGTTGTAACAGATGCCTCTGGTAAGGGAATAGGGGCTGTCTTGATGCAAGAGAATAGACCAGTTGCATTCCTAAGCCAAGGTTTTTCTCAGAGAGCTATGAGCAAATCTGTCTATGAAAAGGAGTTGATGGCTATTGTTTTTTCCATCCAAAAATGGAGACATTACTTAATGGGAAGTCACTTTGTGGTGAAAACTTACCAGAAGAGTTTAAAGTTCCTTACTGATCAAAAAAATTTAAATGCAGAACAGCAGAAGTGGGCCTCCAAGTTGCTGGGTTACGATTTTGAAATTCAATACCAGCCGGGAAAAGAGAACAAGGTGGCTGATGCCCTTTCCAGGCAAATGCAATTTTCTGCTATCTCACAGGTTGGTTTGGCACATTTCAATGATCTGGATGATGAAATAAGGGCTGACCCAGTAATGCGCACTATACGGCAAGATCTCCTACTAGATCCTGCTTCACATAATGGGTTTGCTTTGTGTGGAGGGAGGCTACTGTATCAGAACAGATTGGTCCTTCCAAAACAGTCCCATTTAATTCCCTTGTTACTCCGGGAATTTCATGATTCACATGTGGGAGGACACTCAGGAGCTTTCAGGACTTACAAACGTATTGCTGGAGTGGTGTACTGGCAGGGAATGATGAAGGAGATTAAGGATTATGTGGCTGCTTGTCATGTATGCCAACAACACAAAATTCAGAATCTATCACCTGCGGGGTTGTTGCAGCCTTTGCCTTTACCTACACAAGTGTGGGCTGATGTGTCAATGGATTTCATTGGTGGCCTACCCAAGGCGTTTGGGGTGGACACTATATTCGTAGTAGTTGACAGAATGACCAAGTATGCTCACTTCACGGCTGTCTGTCATCCTTATTCAGCTAAAGACATTGCATCAGTCTTTACTCGTGAAGTAGTACGGTTACATGGGTTCCCTAAGACCATTGTGTCTGATCGTGACAGGATCTTTCTTAGCACATTCTGGTCTGAGTTGTTTAAAATGGCTGGTTCCAAGTTACAATACTCCACTGCATATCACCCCCAATCTAATGGGCAAACGGAAGTGGTCAATCGTTGCTTAGAGACATATCTAAGGTGTTTTTGTAGCCCAAAACCGAAACAATGGCCCAAGTGGCTGCCTTGGGCTGAATATTGGTTCAACACCACATACAAGGATTCAACCGGCATGACACCATTCAAGGCCTTATATGGTTGTGAGCCACCTACTCTGTTCAGGGACAGCAACCAGAATTGTGTGGTTGAAGATGTTTCAGCAATGTTGCAAGAAAGGGATGTGGTACTAAAGGAGATGCATGACCACTTGGTGATAGCTCAAAATCGTATGCGGGTTCAAGCCAATAAGCAGAGGAGGGAATTGGTTTTTGAAGTGGGTGACATGGTATATTTAAAACTCCAACCTTACAGGTTGAAGACATTGGCACGCAAGATTAATGAGAAGTTGAGTCCGCGGTTTTATGGCCCTTACAAAATTGTTGCTCGAGTGGGCGAAGTGGCTTACAAGCTAGATCTTCCACTTGATTGTAAAGTACATCCAGTGTTCCATGTTTCTTTATTGAAAAAAGCTATCTCACCTGCAGCAGTGACCCAGCCTTTACCACCTATTTTATCTGATGAATGGGAATTACAATATGAGCCAGAGGACGTTTTACAATGGAGGTACAACTCTCTTGGAAATCTGGAAGTGTTGATCAAATGGAAACACTTACCTTCTTTTGAAAACACATGGGAAGAATTTTTCGTGATTAATAACCAATTTCCATTGTTCCACCTTGAGGACAAGGTGGTTAAATTGGGGGGGAGTATTGATACGTTCGTGGGCAGGGGCAGATTTGGGAAGGTGTACAAAAGAAGGCAGAAACAACATGAAGGGATCCTGAATGATGAGTCAGCAACACTGAGCACATTTGGTGGGAAGGCTGCTGACGTGGATAGTGAGGTGCGTCAGGTGCATCACGTGGACAGTAACCGAATGTAACAAAGGGAGGTCACGCTTCCAGCAAAGGGGTGTTATTACAATTACTGAGTTTGTTACATATAGGGGTAGGGAGCGTGTGAATAGGCATCTTTGGAATTTGGCAAGTTGGGCATCCTTTTAGGGTGAATTGGGAGAGAACCAGACCTCTCTAATTGTTCTGGGTAGTACATCATTTAGCAGCTATTTCTCATTGTGAATTGTTTCACATTATCATTACGTATTTCCCATACTTGTAATTTTGCTTTCAATTACTTGTAACTTCACAGTTGGAGAATGTTAATGATATATTGTTGATTAAGAGGCTGAGTTAATAACACATTTACAAATTCCATCAGTTTTCATTCTATTAATCTCTGATACCTATCAATATGCATGGTCGGTAAGAAACTTCCTTCCACGCAAACATAAACAGCAATACTCACACTTCTCCAAATTCATCAACAAACAACACTTGGTAGCTTCAAACAACAAGAATAAAAAATTTGAATTGAGGAAGCCCCAAAAACCTTGAAAAACAGGTCTTAAATTTGAAACTTAATCAAGCTCAACTTGGTTTAATAACAGCTTGCCTAGACACTGGGTAAATTCAGCAGAGGAGAGAGAACTGAGGATGGTATGAGTTCCGTTGGAGAAAACGTTTGAAAGCAGAGAAAGGGGAGAGGGGGAAGGAGGATAATTGTGTACAGAAGAGGTACTGGATGGGGCTAGCTGTTCCTAAGATTGGGACTCTCTGTTGAAGTCTGTGTATTATGTACCTTCCATTTCTGTTTGTTCTTACTTTCGAAGAACTCCAGAATTCATTTCTAGTGTAAGAAGCTAGTCTCCCATTTCTCTAACAGTAGAACTCAGTTCCAATAACAGTCCTTGTAAAAAATAATAAATAAAAATTCTTCCTAAGTTGTCTTTCCGTTACATTTCCATCAGTATCTGCCAACTGTACTTATTTTGGCCACTGTAGACGTTAGGTCAGTGTCAGTTATGCAAAATCAATTCCCACACTCCTAAATCCCAAATTCCCTGTAAGAATCAATTGAGGTGGTGGGTGAGGTTTTGGCAAGATCTAGTCCTCTAGAAGTGCTGGCTGAAGGCATGCTAGCCCCAGTGGGAAGCATTTCCACATAATATGCCATGTAATTTATCCACCTCATTTTTAGTGTGTCAACATTGGCAATAAAACGGTCATTCTTGGATAGGAGTGTAACAGAAAAATGACTTGGTAAGAAAAAAAAATTTACACGGACTGGTTTTCAAATTTTAAAAAAGACAAAAAGTAGGAACTAAACCGAAAAAGATGAATATTATAGGGCCAACACAGCACTATTAAAATTTTCTTTTAAAATGTAAACCTAATTGTACAGAATCAACAGTTACTAGTATCTAGTTATTGATTGGTAGCAAGATATTTTCATTCCAAGAGCAATACATGTGTAATAACTAGTACTATTTTGCTTACCTGCTTTTCAACTATGCTAGTTACTAAAGAACTCAAACTCAATCAGACCAGAAAAATCCATAACTTACTCTTTAGGTACTCATCATATTTTTCAGCTTCATAAACTTCATTATTGAAATATTTGACAGTCTGTAAAACATGGGGAAAAAAATCAATGCCATGTCAGTGACAAAATAACCAAAATAAAGATAACATTAAAAAGCATAAAGAAATCAGAACACAGTATTAGACTGAAATGCTCACCTCATAGTTAATAAGCGAATCAACAGCCCTTGTACTAGCATCATTATCAGCCTTATTCATGACTTTCCTGAACTTAGTCCTCCACTGAAAAAGTCAGCAAACTTAAGAGTAAATAAATGCTATAACCTTAATAACCCTGTCTGTCATGAATTTTTCAACAAGTCCACAGTATCATCTACCATCTCATTTAGTTGGCCACTCACAAATACAATATTTGTTACTGAGAACTGAAACTTTATTTTTTACAAAAAGGGATTGGAAAATTTCTAAAGTGGCTTATGAAGTCGATAAGTGATTTTGGCAGTAAATAGGCTAAATTTTAATGGCAATGTGCAATCCAGGGTACTACTGGGTGCAGATCTTCGGAGCATAAAGCTCATTATTATAAGGAGGTTTCTTTGGCTCTATAGCTGATTTGGGATAAATTTGGCGAGTGACTTCTATGTGGTGTATAATGGTCCTTTTAAAGGGGTTTCTTTAAAAAACTATGGATAAAAGAAAAAGGAAAAGTCCTGACTTTGCAAACTAGGATCCTGAGCATTTTAACCTCATAATTCAAATGGCTAAAAGTACAAAAAGTTAAATAATGACAAAAATGCCAGTAAATAAATGACAAGACCAACAATGAAAATAAGAGAGCACCAAACTATTCCAAGCCTAAATACATTAGATATTTAGATTGGTTCAAGGCATGATTCATACCTGTGTGATAGTCAGTGTAAAAATAACATAAGCAGCAACTGATAGGGATGTAATTAACGCAAAAGGAGCTCCGAATTTGTAGGCCAGTATACCTGATACCATAGATATCTGGATGGATACATGTTAAATCTGCTGAAGTTGTTCAAGAACAAAAGAAGCAAGAGTTGGGATGACAAAATAATTTTCAAAGATCATTAAAGAAAAAATCAACGACGCCAGGAAGTCACAGGTGAAAATGCAGATCCTGTTAAATATCTTTGTGTTTAACAGTGAGTAGTGACCAACATTGGGGAAATACATCATAAAGCTAAGCAACAAGGAAATAACTGAGGCATACCTCCAATATGGTGGGTACTACATTGAAAACCATAGCGGAGAGAATGAAATTTATTGCACGGCTACCACGATCAATTATTCTACTTAACGCACCAGTTTCTCGACTGGAAAAACAATGTCTACGTGAGAAGGATACACAATGGAACAATAGACAACACACTAATAATGCAGAAGCAGAGAAGCATAAATGCAGGTGAATATTTTGTAGCTTTGATGGTTAAGTCAATAAAAATTCTCATTTAAATCTTTTTTCAGAGTGCTCAGTAGTGACTGGTTGGCGTTCTCAAGTGCACGAATAAACACAATACAAGGGTAGCTAATCAACGCTCAAACCCTATTGGCCCAGTTCCACTTACACCACAAATCTCATTGAAAGTTCCAAACATAGATTTTTAGGGTCGCGAGACACATCAGGCCAAGCCCATAATTAAATATAAGCCACTTTATAACAATCAGGTCTTAACTAATTACATTCATGGAATTTGAAAGAAAGCTAGATGGAACTGATATAACCAGAAAACTGTAACTGTTGAAATAACCCAGAATTCTAGGTAAAAGGCTACTATAGAAACTATTAAAAGTGACTCATTAAAGACTATTAAAAAAGCTACACAAAAACCCTTGAAACAATCCAATGTGCAACTATAACTGTCTTGTTTTTGTTAAAAAATTTCAAACCTTCTAACTCTTGTTTATCAAGGAGCTACTAACCTGAAGAAAAATAAAATAAAATCTTTTAAAAAAAGATACAATGAATCTATTTAATTTGGTTTAACTTAAATCAGATGGTTCACTAAAACACTAGCAAACATTTTTGAATTGTTTAGAAAATTTAATTCATGTTCATTAATAACAGTTAAAACCTACATTAGCCAAAAAGAAAAGGTGCGCTAAGCTATGAATAGTGATAGATCATACTCAGTCTGCACTTTCTAAAATCTCTTAATTAGTTAGTAAAAGATGATCAAACTCAAACTATAGAATTGCATTGGTATGCATAAAGACCAAGAAATGACAAGATAAGGTTATGGCTATTTGGGAACTATAATATAAAAACATTAACGTAGCCTATAACTATTAGCTTAAGCTTTTGGGTTAAAATGATTCTTTATATGATATCAAAGCCTCTATGACCAAATGTTAACGAGTTCGATTCTCACCGTCCCTATTCTATTAATAAATAATTAAATATTTAATGTTGGAAATTCAAGTGTGAGTAGTGAAGTCCCATATTTGTTAGAAATGTGTCATGAAGACTATATAAGTGAAACGATCCATAAATCTAGCAACGCCTTAAGGTTTTGGGTTGAGATCTGGTGTCCGAACCCACTTATTATAGAGAGTTTGTAGCTCAACCCATTTGATGGTAGATCTCCCCCTACCATGGGCTCCTCCCCGTTGCCCAACAATAGCAGAAGGTTCTTTAACTTTCTCTCTAGTATTCTTGTTTCCTCAGTTTGCTCTTCTCCATTTAGTTTTGTAAAAGCATAACATAAACATTTCATAGAACAAAAAAATATTAGCCCTCTCAGCATGGCAGATGTCATACCTTAGATGATACCGAAGGTCAAGATCATGCAAGTGTGAGAAGACCTGAAACAGTCAGGAACTAAAGTAAATTGAGCATCTTAACATCGTACAACCAACTTAGGTATGATTTTAAAAGAGATTGGGAAAAAAAAAAACTTAAGCTGTTTAAAAGAGGAATCTAATCTAAAATCTGGTAACCCATTAATACATACAGAACAGATGTACCAAAAATTCTTATTGCTTATCAGTTGTTCCTGAAGGGATGGGGCAATGAAATACCAAAGCCATGAAAGCAGCATACCTTCCTGGATACTAATCGAATCGTTCGCAGTGCTACCTTAGAAAATATAGCAGTCCGCAGTTCTGCCAAAATTAGTTGCATCCCATAAATAAAAGTTAACAGAATGAATCATGAAAACCATGCCTCTTCACAAAAATACATAGGTGAAAGTAACCACATCAATAATGTAAATGCAAATGTCCAGATGGAGGACACTAGCAGCTAGAGCTGGCAGTTAGCCAAGCCAACTCATGAGCTATATGAGGCTTGGCTCGCTAACAAATCAATAAGCTAGCCTCTATGAACTTGAGCTGAGCTTGAGTTGGAAATTGGCTCGTCCAGTAATGTACCGAGCATGAACTTTCACTATTTGACGCTTGGCTAGCTAACCACTCAAAGAGCTTGGCTCATGAACTCATGAGCTGAGCTTGAGTTAGAAATTTTGGTTCGTTTAATAAATGAACCGAGGTTGAACTTCATACGTTCAGATTACTAGTTCATGAGCTAGCTAGCGCTCTCTCTCTATATATATATATTGTGAACTTTAATTAACTTCTTCTAATCCTGACCATCCATGTAAGATTGAAAGGCCAATATTAGCTCCTCTCATCTCTTACAAGAAAATAGTGTTCTCACTTGAAACCTATTGGTAAATCAACATATTGTATATGCTAATCAATGATTGGGTGCTACTGTTGGTTAATCAAACATTGTTCAGAACCAACTATGCTATTGGATTTTAATTTTTGAGATGAGTAAAAGTCACATACAAATTTCAAGCTTAGCTCATTGAGCTTGAACTGCTCATGAGCTCATAGCGAGCTGAACTCAAGCCAACAATATGAACTTGTTTCTTATTGAGCTTGAGCTGAGCAAATTATCATTGAGCCACCTGAGCCCAGCCAAGGTCGGCTCAGCTCATTGCTAACACTCCTAGCAGCAGCATTGAAGACTAATAAGCATGCAAATGCCAATATCAGCTATCAATCATTGGTTTGCACACATGCCTATGAGTGGGACCTTTTGGGGAAATTTATTACTAGTTATTTGAGTAATTTCTGCAATATTTTATTGTTTTGGGAAGACAGTGCCTTAGGCTATTATTGGGCTTGGATTGTGACCTTTAAGTGCTTTAAAGTCATACATTGACTTTTTAAGTGATGCTTAATTAGTTATGAAGCCCAAATCCTCATTGGATGAGGACTTTATTAGTTACACTTGTGGGGTCAGTCATAGGAAGACTATTTAAACCATTGTAATGATTTATTCAGATTTAATTTTAAGTTTTCTGAGAAATCAGCATCTTTAAGGGTGTCTCTTTGCCTTCAAATTTTCTTAGGGATAGGGTTATGTTCTCAACTTCTCTTGACTGTTCTGCCCATCGCTGTTTCAAGGGTGTTTCCATGTCTTATATGCAGCCCTGCTGCACTCCCAGTTTCCACTGATTCCTTTCTTTTGTCTTTGTTTTAGATTAGTTCATTTCAGCTATTGAGGATATACCTTATCGTCGCTCCAAGTCTACTTACTTACTTATCTTCCCTTTGATAATACTTAAAAGAGCGGAAGTTAAATCTTTTAACATAAATATAGGTCCAATGAACATAAAATATAACTTCAACAGGTGCTTCCTTTGAGAAGCCTAGGCATAAAAATTTAGAATTGTAAAGCATGCGGTTTCCACTCCCATAGGTAAGACCAGCTTCAACAGGTAGACAAAACAGGTGATTATATAGCAATCACTTCATTTATAAATACCATTGAAAGCAGAAGCTCCAGTACGTGCAATCCCATATCCAACCAACACAGCCACCGGGGTTGCAAAAAGAGCCAGCGCAGTTGAATTAGAAGCAAAAGCACCAGCATTGCCGGTGGCAGTCGTCAACCAATCAACTGCAATCTTGAATAAGAAAGGGACCTGAACATTCAGAACCTGAAAGATAAAACAAGGCATGAACCATCAGACTGAGCAGTAGAGATCAAGTGCCAATAACAAGGATCAATTATCAGCATCAGCAGGTTAACCACAAAACAATAAACAAGTAACCAGGTCAATGTCACTGACCTTAGCACCAACAAGTAAACCCAATGCAGCAAAAACCCGAAACCGAAATTCGAGGTTATCTCTCATCCACAAGTAACTGGCAAGTGTACGAAGGATCTTCATATCAGCGACTTGTTCCCCAGGAGGTGATTTAGCAATGGTAGAAGCTGTCTTTTGTTTCTGGGTTCCATCATCAGTTTTAGTTGATGTTGAGAACAACGCTCGCCCATCTACCGTTGAACTCTGTTCCACACAATCAGCATCAAAGCCATTGAATTTGAACCAACACAACTATTTGTTTAAAAGAAAAGAAAAAAGAAAACAGAAAACAGAAGACAGGCATTTGAACGAACAGATTGTGGTAGGTAAGGTCTGGTTCCTCTGCCATGTTGCGAAGAAGAAGAAGGTGATGAATCAGAGAGAAACCCCTTTATAGCAAAAAGTAAACTTGGGCATGTTTTGGGTTGGCGGTGATTCAAACTGATTCCATAACCGTAACCGTAACATCTTGTAGTGCGAATTGAGGAGGTGGTGGTGATGCCAGAAGCACTTAAAAGCGAGCGAACTCGATTGCCACTACCACTACCAATGGTGGGTCTGGCATCGATTTGAAGAAGGTGCCTAGACGCACAAGTAACAGCAGCAAGCATTTTTCTGAAACCCAAAGTTCACACCTTTGTTTGTTTCTCTTCTGCAAATGAGTCTAATGGAAAGAAAGAAGTTTCTCAAGTTCAACGGATTTGGGAAGTTTAGGAACAAACCCTAATCAAATTGTTTATTGATAGGCAAAGTTTTGAGTGTGCTGTGACTGGTTAAAAGGAAGAAGATGGAGAAATTCTTGTGTGGTAGTAGCAGTAGCAATAGCAATAGCAATAGTAATGCTTACTTGCTTAGCCTCCTTTCCCCTTCCTTCTATTTGACTTTTACATGTGTTATTGTTATGTTTCAGCGTAGTAGAGGAGAAAAACAAAATTTATCATCTAATGACAATTAACGGGAATTAGATGAGAAAGTAAGTTTTATGAAAAAGTTAAAAAAAATTATTTGGTATATCAAAATATTATCAAAAAAATTGATAGAAGTTTTCTAAGTATGCTTGGTTGAAGATAAAATATTACTGAAAAAATGAATTGAAATTATCAAAATAATTCTTGCTTATCAAATTTTGACATGTTATTTTAGGGGGATATTTGTATCCAAATTTTTGCTCCCTAAATTTTTATTTCCTTGCTAAATCAAAATACCACCCTTTGGGTGGTATTCTCAAGTGATAATCTAGGTAAAAATTTACACACAATCTCACATTTTCCTGCAAATTAAAACCCTAATCAAATTTTTTGAAATCCCTTACCAATATATCTCATGTGAACTTTTCCAAGTAACAAAATAAAACTCCCTTGCCAAACATATCAGGGTTCTAATTTGCATGCGAAGATGAGATTGTGTGTAGAATTTTATCCAGATTACCAATTGAGAATACCATCTAGAGATGGTGGTATTTTGATTTAATGAGAGAATGAAAATTTGGACACAAATATCCCTAAAATAATGTACCAAAATTTGATAGGCAAAGGTTACTTTGATGATTTTAACTCATTTTTCTAGTAATATTTTATCTTTAACCAAACATAGACTCAGAAAACTTAAACTAATTTTTTCGGTAATATTTTGATCTAACAAATAATTTTTTTTTAACTTTTTCAAAAAAATTATTTTCTTACCATATTTTCAATAACTGTGATTTCTTGATAAAAAAAAATTCTCTTATTCATTAGAGGAGCATTTGCAATCAAGTCAATGCACATATTCATTCCCTATGCAGACACGTGAATGTAAAAAAAAATTTATTTTTTTAGGAGAAAGGGAATGTAAAATCCTAAAAGCACAATTGGATCACGCTTTTTCAATTGAAATTCCCGAAAGTACGGTACGAAGAGGTTATGACGAGCTTATTATCTCTTAGGTACATGGCTAGAATATGTAAAATTGCCTCCATCAGTGACACTATTTGCACAGTTGACAATTAATTTGACGGCACAAAGGTTTGAATTCTATCCATTCCATGTTTTAGGCAAAACAATTGCTTTGATTTCAAGATCATAAAGCTTGGATTAAGGAATTAAGCAACTATCATCTTGAATACATTCTTGTTACCTCTGGATTTCATTGGTGTTTGGACATTAAAGCATAAGAGATTACATTTCACAATGGTTAAGGACAAGTCTGCATGCAAGAAAATATTTTTGATGTCTATGAGAAATATAACTAATAGAAAAGTTTTATAACCGTGGTTCTACCCAATCAAATCGATTCTAATAGGACTTGATAGGATCTTGGACGTTGGCTTCCAGATGTAGAAGCAAGAGCACAAAACCCTTACCATCTACTCTCCCCTTGAAGGAGGCATGACCACTTAATGGCTGTTGACTTCACATTCCTCAGACGTCAAGATTACTATTTCCTTGACCTCTCAACCCGTGGCCTTGATAATGGTGATCCCCAAAATTCTTTGTTTGCAGTGATTTTATTCCTTAAGAATCAAACATACTCTTGCGCTCTCTACGATGACATTTACTCAATTTTCCACAAGGATATTGTCAATGATCTTAGACTCGAAATGTCAAGCAGCTGATGCTCCATACTGCATTGCACTGAACACGGACGGCAAAAGGATATAGGGAAAATGAAGCTCCTTTCTAAATAAGTAGATCTGCCACAACCATGAATGATACAATCACAAGGTTTCATTTTTGTCAAAGAATAAGCATTTTCATCCAAACATGGTGTACATGAGATTCTCTTTTACTAAAACTTCTGCAATTGATTTCTAGTATGACATCTCGATATAGGAAAGCAAATTAACTTCCGTGAATAGAAAACGACCGCTATAAACAGCTGAATCAAACACAATAAATCCTAATCCTAACAGAACTGCCATACAAAACCTATTCTAATGTTTCAATTTTTGATACAACAACCACCTATTTTAATGTTACCACATGAGTTTTTCCAACTATTCTATCCTATAACTTATGAGTAACATCCTAATTATCTGTACAGAATCTTAAACAGAGATGCACATGATAGAAAGCCTTGCTGGTAAGTGGTAAGCTGGAAACCCAATCTGCCAAACTCTTACAACCCGCTGACCTTGGAACAATTGCCTGTAATTAATTCACAAGATTATACTGGGTTCACCTGCATAGAAAAGGACTAAATTCTCCGTTTCCCACGTCTTCTGGTGTCTATATCAACTAGCCTTGATGATGATGGAGCAGGTAAGGGTGCTGACAGACCAATAGATTCTGGGATGTCAAGATTCACTCCCATAGTTGGGCCTGCCATTGCACGTTTGATGTCCAAGTCATGAAATTGGTGAACTTCAAATCTTACTTTGTCAATCTGTTAATCAAGATGGTGAAACAAACAATAATTAAAACCCAAACACATCATGCATAATGCTTCTTTGTCAAGATGACCTTACTATTTCAATATGATAAATGGATGCATGTGCATCAGCAAGTCTCTTATGCAAATCTTCTAATTTTTTTGTCTGATACTCAGCATTCTCCATTTCGTTTCCCCTTTCCCCTAATTCTTTATATAAAGCTGCAAGAGCCAAGAAATATATTCATACAACATAAAAAAAGCAGAAGATACAAGAAGCAACATTAATACAGACAAACAAGGCCTCCCAAAAATGTCCAAGAGCCTACTCCAAATACTTTTGCAAAAGAACAATGCATAAGTAAATAACTATGGTCTTTGAACTGCTAAAACTATAACACAAACATTGGAAAATGATGCCCTACAGGGTCTGCAAACCTACCAAAGTTATCAAATGCGGATTGCGGCGCGTCGCGGCCAACTCCGAAAAAAGCTATAGCGTTATAGCGGGTTGCGGTTGCGGAAATAGCGGAATAGATATATGACAGAAATAATGACAAAAAGAAACATTTTTTAAAGGTAGAGATAGCAGAAGTGACAAAGAGAGACGCAGATAGACTAAGAAACCTTAAAAATTTTCTGTTACACATTTAAATTTAGGACAACATTGACATTTTGCCTTATGACAGCAATATGGCTGCAATTTGGCCGCAAATGCGATCGCAATGGCCGCTATTGCGTTCGGGTGCGACGCGGCGCGGTTTCTTGGGGCGAGGCACCGCAACGCCCATACGGCGCGGCTTGCGGTACTATTGCGGCGCTATTAACTACTATGAAACCTACAACAGATTGTTGGTATTAACCCAATTAATATAGTTCGCATGAAAATCAAGACCTTGAAGGGCACCTGCTTTCTACATAAGACTAACAAGGCCACCACAAACACAAGGAGAGGGAAGTATCTGGGGAAAGGATAATGTTTAGAAGAATAGGTCCCATAATAATCCAAGGTCCAGATCCTATCAAACATATCTTCCAGAGAAGGCTGAACAGGATGAAGAAGAGAAAGTACGTATGCTAAATCAGAGATTCTCTATAACTAAAGTTACTAAGGACACGAAAAATTCACAGCAGACAGTCAGCCACCAGAATGAGTACAAGTCTTGGAATAGCGGTAAGGTTGTTCTTTGTGATATTCAAGTCTAAAAAACAGTCTCTTTGCAAAAATGCAAGGGTATGACTGTGAACAATCGATCCTAACCCCTACCTTTGCAAGTCAGATAGCCTTATATACCGAATACCGATATTTTCCCTTTCTAGTCAGATGCCAGAAACTTGTAAAGAATATAATCAATTTATAGAATAGTGTAAAATGAATATTAAATGAGAAAAAAGCCGCTAAAAAGGGTAATATCCTACACATAAATCCTCGCAAAACATTCAAGACTAGAATTCTTGGTCTTGTGTGTGCTAGCCGAAAATTTCATGAAGAGGACCAATAACACCTAGGCGCCTATGTCTTGTGATTTTATTCGGATTAGAATCCTAATTTCAATCACACAAAATCAGCCCAATATCCATTAAGGTAGGTTTGTTATTGTTAGTATCTTTTTCAAATTCAAATTTCAAGATTGCTTCTAGAAGCATCTTGAATTTGTTCCAATTCATAAGACACTTGAATTCAAAATTCAAGTTTAAATGTGAACAGTCACTCATCATTAAACCAACAAAGGTAATGTCAAATACCCAAGGGAATAAACTGTCAAGGACTTGCATGAGTAACATTCACTATACATATGTGATCTGACCAACTTATTTTGATTTAGGGTGTACTTACAATGAATAATTTTATGCCAAAGGGAATGTGGATCCCATAGAAATGCCATAACCGTTTGTGAATTTGCCTCCCATGGCAGATTTCTTATCAACCAAATTTCCCAGACCCTTACAAAAATTCTCCCAACTCACTGAATGATCTGTTCTATTCTGACCAGCACAAGACCAAAGAAATCTCCCATATCCTTTATTCTCCCAACAAGTCCAATGTGAATACTAATTGGAGGCTATTAGAGAAATATAATATAAAACCATTAATGTATCTTCACCTAACAACTTAAGTTGTAGGTTTGAATTGATTGTTTTACATTGTATCAGAGCCTCCGGCACCACGACGAGTTCAATCTCACCGTCCCCCATTTTCTAATGGAATTAAGACAGCACAAGATAAAACCAAGAGCTTGTGCAATATCCATGCTTCAAGCCCAAAGAGATCTTGCGTGAGAGGGTGTGTTAAAGAGTTATAATATAAAAAACATTTATAGGCCTTCATTTAACAACTTGAGCTTTTTCTTCTTCTTTTTTGGGGTATACCGACCCTAATTAACTCTTTGAGACGAGTCGGCCCCCTTGGTATCCTCATAAGTTTCAACTCTCTGAGTCAACTATGAGACTAATCTCAAGTCGAGGCTTGGTCACAGCTAAAGCTCATTACCCCTCCCCAAATATGTATTTGGTGACAATCGAACTCAGACTCTCTTCCCACTCTACTCAACCTGTGTTGCCAACTGAACTACACGCATTGGGTATAGCTTGAACTTTTAGGTGACATGGTTGTATATCATGGTATCATAGCGTAGATATTGCACATCAATGGTTAAGTGAAAGGTCCATCAATGGCTTTTATATTATATCTTTCTGAGAGAGGCAATAGAGAGGATTACTTCATGACTAAGATTGAATTTTTGTGTCCTAATCACAGAAAGAAAGCACCTTTCCACCTATCAAACCTCTTGCAAATCATTCGGATAACTGGATCCTAAAAAGAAGCAGGCCTAGAATTACCACGCAAAGTAACACTCAAAAAGGTTAAAGGCAGTTATATAATTAGACAATCAGTTAAAGGGATGACTTTCCACACCAGCCACTCTTAAACAAGGTTTAGGATAATTGACCAAAATGCCACTGTTCACCAACTTTTTTACCTAAATACCACACGAACAGTGTTATTTCTCAATCTGTCACGGGGACAAGTTCGCTTCTGACACAAGCGACCTCGGTTTGCTGACGTGTCACATTTTTAGTGGATAACAAGTATTAAATTTAAAAAAAAAAAATTAAAAAAAATGAAGTTCGCCTACCATGTAGGCGAACTTGGTTAAAATATTGTTGGAACCGAGGTCGCCTGTGTCAGAAGCGAACTCTGACACCACCAGGAAGCTGATACATCAGCAAACCGAGGTCGCTTGTGTCAGAAGCGAACTTGCCCCGTGGCAGATTGAAAAATAATACTGTTCGCGTGGCATTTAGGTAAAAAAGTTGATGAACAGTGGCACAATGGTCACTGTTCCACAAGGTTTATCTTCAAACCAGAAAAGAGCACGACAATCTGCAAGAAAGGCAAGACACTCCGGAGGCTCTTAAAATACTCAAACAAGAATAAAATAATGTCATTCGTAAACTGTAACTAGAGAACACTTAAAGTCATAATAGGAGATTTTTTGCATTCACAAACTATGTAGTGCTAGATAGAGAAGTACCTGTCAAAACAGATAGAACCCAAATCTGAGTTGGAACATCATAAAGCTTCTTTGCCAAGGTCAAAGATGATTTTAATATCTCCCTGGCTTGTGCAGTGTCACGTAATGCAAGGGCCAAACTGCCAAGGATCGTCAAATATTGGGAAACAAGTTGAAGGTTCCCCAAATAAGCATGTGTCAGCTGCAATCCCCTAGCCAAGCGGTTTCTGCAGCAAATTTGTAACTTAGAGGAAGGAGGAAGAAATAGAATTAAATATGTGGATGGAGATAAGTGTCCAGTTACAAGTGGGGTTCAACTCTTGGATACATAGCTAAAATATAATTAATGAAAAATAAATATAAAATTATTGAATTATTCTATTTTAATGTTTAAGATATTGTCTAGAAATAAATTTTGATATAAATAAAAGTTAACGTATTATATGCAATACAAGCAATAACCAATAAGCCAACAAGTGTACATAATGACACTTCATCATCAACATCAACATCAACATCAACAACACCTTTATCCCAAATTAATTGGGGTCGGTGGTAGATGAACCCACAGGAAAGATACAAAACGGTTGAAAAAAAAAAAAAAAAAAAATTATATATATATATAAAATAAGATAAAATAAAATAACAATATATGTATATATAAATAAATAAAAGTAAAAAAGAAAGGGACAAGAAGAAGTGAGGGAAATGAAGGGGAAAAGGACTAAAAAGGGACCATCTGGAACATAGGAATAACAGCGGGTCTAACCCTCCACCATACTTATAGCTTTTCTCCATTCCGTTCTAAGACATATTGTCCGCCAATCTATATCCCACTCCATTAAATCTTGTTTTACTACTTTCCCCCAAGTAAGCTTCGGCCTACCTCTGCCTCTTTTTGTGTTGAGCTCTTGGTAACAAACTTTTGTTCTTACAGGAGCATCCATGGGTCTTCTCATCACGTGCCCAAACCACCTCAATCTATGTTCTCTCATCTTCTCGGCTACCGGTACTACTCCGACCTTTGCATATAATAAATAAATGATAGATCTTAATTAGGAGTGGTAAAACGTGTTGGCACGTCGGGTTCATGCATGTTACGTCACGCTTTTGTTCACAGGCCAAAAAATTGAAACCCAAACACGACCCACTGCGGGTTGTGGGTCACATGGGTTGACATGCAAAAATTGAAATTTTGATTTTTTTTTAAAAAAAAAGGGAAAAACCAAATAAAATACACAGGTTGTTCGGTGACCTGTCATGTCAAAATCACCAAAATTTTAACTTTTTTTTTTACTCTTTTTTTTATACAAAAAAATTGTTAGTTAACGCTAGTTACACGAGTCAACTTGTGACATGAAACAATAATAATTCGTCTCTTTACCCAAACCCTTACACGACTCGTTTTATCTGTAGGTCGACACGACCCGCATTTTGACATGTCATGTCATAGGTTGACCTGCTAGTTATGACATGTTTTGCTTAATGGTGGACATTTTATTCCATGAAATAGTATATGCTGGGTCCAATTCTCAGTTTTAAACAACTTGAAATTGTGTTTCAAGCACATAAAACAAGTATTTACTGTTAAAAAATGGATTAACAAAACATGAAAAGCCACATGGTCCCTTGGAAAAGAAATGAAAATTGGTCTGCAGGTCGTTTAAGGGAATGCAAAGGAGAACCCTTACACGACTCGTTTTATCTGCAGGTCGACACCCGCATTTTGACATGTCATGTCATAGGTTGACCTGCTAGTGATGACATGTTTTGCTTAATGGTGGACATTTTATTCCATGAAATAGTATATGCTGGGTCCAATTCTCAGTTTTAAACAACTTGAAATTGTGTTTCAAGCACATAAACAAGTATTTACTGTTAAAAAACGGATTAACAAAACATGAAAAGCCACATGGTCCCTTGGAAAAGAAATGAAAATTGGTCTGCAGGTCGTTTAAGGGAATGCAAAGGAGAAGTCAATTAAGCCACCAAAACCACACCATCAACAGCCAGTTCTAGTGTTTGAATAGAGTATTCAACTAAAACAATTATGAGTATTGACTGCACATGATAGAATGCCAGTTCAACAGTTTTCAGGTTGCACTGGTCAGTCTGTTTGAAGCTCGTGAATTTTGTAATTCCTTTGTTTTTCACCCAGAGATGTGCAAATTGACAATCATGACATACCCTGGAAGGTTATTAATATTATCTTTAAGATAGTTGTTCTCTTATCTTTAGCACATTTGTATATGTAAACTAGTTATGTTTGGTGAATGCAATAAACCGGGTTTTTGAAGTTGAACCGGTTTTGGATTTTTGGTGCAAAATGTTGGCTGAATGCACACACTGGGTGTCGAACTTTGTACTTTAAGGTGTATGGCTATATAACACCAGGTAACCACTAAGTCATAGCACCTTGATAATTATATTGCATCTTTTATTATATTCATTATACACTTTATATATATCCGGTTCATCCGGTTCAACCGATTGAACCAGTGACCCATTGACCGAGTGCACCTTGGCCATGTCGATGACCAGTTCAAGTTTAATAACATTGGTTTTGATTATTTTATGGAGAAAAACTGCTTTTTTTTTAAAATAATAATAATAACAAAAACAAAACTCTCTTAGAAAGTTTTTGATAATAAGCTATTATACACACACTAACTAGCTTAACAAATTGAAGAAGAGAGACAACTGTGATGCAGACAAAGTAGTAAGTATACTGTTAAGAACCATTTCAACCCAAAACCTTTTGTACTTTTTATTTAATTCCACAAGTGGGGGGCGGTGAGGATCGAACTCGTGACCTTATGGTCACTTAAGCTCTGATACCATGTAAAGAACCACTTCAACCCAAAACCTTAAGGTTTTGAGTGAGGGCCTTTTTAATGATTTATATTATTCTCTGACAATTTCCTATTATTCTTTGTTCCTCAAGGTTGTGATTAAATATGATAGTGATTTGTTTCTCGACTATTGAATCCTTTTGTCACTTTTTCCACACCTCACCGTTGGTCTCTTGCGCAAGCAGGTCTTGGTGAAAATGTGAAAAAAATTCTTCCACTTTAGTTCTGTCTTTTTTTTTTTATTTCCATGCATATCCCAAATTTTACAAAGGGAGCACCCAGTTGCTAGTGGTTCGGTCCACAGAAAGTTTTCTCGTCTTGGTGAGATTGTACCGAAGAGTGGGTTTGACTTGGGTTTTTATGGTTATGTAGGAGTTCAATCAAATATTGTTGCCGAACTGAAAAAGAGTTACTGAGCAGGGACTCTTTTTGCTTCAGAGGTAGGAAATCAGTGTTTGATTTGTGATTAGGATTCTCAAGAAACTATTTGAACGGTAACTGAGGGTACTGTTGATTTACACGAGAACATACAGGGTTTATGAAGGTTGTTTACCTGAGGTACACAAACTGCTAAATCCCTCGGTAAATATTATTTGTGAATGGCATTTATTCATGCCATTCACTAGCAACAAAGCGTTGGATGCATGAAAAAAAAATGATAAGAACCAATTCAACCCAAAACCTTAATATTATTTGAGATATAGATAATATTTTATTTTAGTTTATAGTATTTGTTATTTTTCTTTAGGGTGAGTTGTAGAATTGTTACAACCCCCATTTGTTTATTTTCATGTTATGTTTCTTCGTCTTTCTTGTTCAAGCTTGTTGCTTATGATCTATACGCTCCAGCTTGAGGGGGAGTGTTGGAAAGAATATCTTTAGAATATCTTTGGAAAGAATATCTTTAGGATATCTTTATTATTTGCAAAGATATATTTCCTTATTTCATTAGGATTTAAGTTAGGTATGAGTTAGGCCCATTAGTGTTTCTTTATATATTGTACTCTCCTTAATCAATTCAATATACAGATTTATTCTATGTTCCTCTCGTCTCTTGTTATTTTACATATACCAACATATTTTGTACTAAAGTAGTTCATAGATCTGCGATGAACTCAATCTAATTCTTGGGAGAATCTCTTGAATTCATTTAAACGTCATTTCCTATCAAACAAATGAATAAACATTGCGACATATAAATAAATTATAAATTGGACATTCACACCAAGACAAACAACCCTGATTGAACAAAAATTATCTAAAAACTTACCTTGCTTCTTGTAGATCCTGTTGCTTCATCAATAAAAGACCATAAGCAAAAAGAACACCTGTTTTCTCTCTAACTCCAAAACAATCTATCGCCCCATAAACTGGCCCAATCAAATCAAGTGCCTGCAGGCAAACTATCATTTAGTTAAAAAATATTGTCACATCAATTCAATTTGCGACTAGAGTTACTGTTCCACCTGTGAAGAAGATTCAGCATCGCCAATGCAGATATAAGAGACAGCAGCATAAACTTGGCACATAGCTTGCATTGATTTGCTCTCTGTAAGCTACACAAAAATATGTTATTTCTGGATTACCATCAACAATATATAACAATATCTAAACAGAAAACCATAAACATGGTCTCTAGCATGCCAAACCAGCATATAAATTTATAATGAATACATACCGAATTTAAGTTGTAGACATATCGAATACATACCTTTACTGCTTCAATATAATGAAAAATAGCTTCACTATAACAGCCAACAGAATGAGCATATTGACCTCTAAGCATCTCAATAATGCATTCACATTCCTTTAATATAGTTGGAAACCGTATGAACCAGTTTTTCATCTGTACTAAAGCCTGAAAAATTGCAAAGAATAGCATTAATGATTTCAATTGTGGAGCATAACGGGATGCAAATTCACTGGCAATTTTTTAAATCCATTAGTACAAGAAAAATATTGTAAAGAACCAATTCAACTCAAAAGCTTAAGCTATTAGGTGAAGGCTTCTTTAATGGTTTATATTATACTCTAACACGTCCTCTTACAAAAGAGCTCATTGGACTTGAAAGGTGGATGATGCATCAAGCCCAGCCTACCTGTGTTAAGAAATTCCACAAAGAAAATGGGAGGCGGCGAGGATCGAACCCGGGACACCGTGGCTCTGATATCATGTAAAGAACCAATTTAACCCAAAAGCTTAAGCTGCTAGGTGAGGACCTCTTTAATGGTTTATATTATACTCTAACAAATATCACCATAAGTAAGCCAGCTAATACGGTGGATTATTAATTAATTGAGATTTGAAATTTTATAGAATAAAATGCAAGCCATCACATCTTGTCATCCATGGAGTTGACAAAATAAAAATATACAATTGGAACATAACCAACCTCTTGTGCTTCAACGAATTCTGCTCGTGTGAGCTCTATGGCCACTTTGTTTTCAAGAAACTGAATTAGTAGCTTTAAGTACACATCAGCCATCCAGATAGAAGAATGTTGCAAGTCCACTTCTGCTAAAAATGAAATTTCAGCAAGGTTGCATAAGGAACCCGTGTTTGCATGGCGGCATAAGCGCCTTGTAGGCATGATAAGAATAATGAATCTCACCTCTTACACCATCAGTAATTCCTATTTTCAATAACTCATCTGCAATGAAGAAATATTATTTTAATAAGGAAAATAAGTCCAAAGCACCCAGGTTTATTCAGTCTCTAAAGCAGTGCACAACAGCAATAACTAATATGGAAATCCATTTTTATGAATAACAGCAACAACTCAACTCATTAACCATGCTTTCAGAACAAATAATTCAAAGGAGTGATACTTCTAATCAGTGATGCTTCCAAAATAAATTTGACACTAAAGCCTAGACACCAAGAGAAAAGACATTTTAGGGCTGTGATTCGACATATAGAATGTCTAGTGACAATATTAGACAGTCGAAGTGCAGGCAAAAGAACAATTCTGACAAAACCAAAAATCATCAAAGGACTATTTGGAAAGCTTATGCATACACTTTTCATTACCATAGCAACCAATTACTATTTTGGATTCAAAATAAGCAGTAGTTGTACTTTCTGTCTAATTATTTTACTTTTTAAATGCCAAGAAAAAAATTGAGACCAAAGCGAAAAGAAGAAGAAATAATTACACAACAATAGTTGCTGGACAACCTTGAATTATATGCATCCCAGACTGTATGCGCTTTCCACACTCCTTAAAAAGTCCTCTCGGGCGCCCAAATATAACAAATATTAGATCAACCAATGCATAGACAGCACCTTTAGGAAGCCATTCACCATCAATAGGAGGAGGTGCTAACAGAAGCTTATCGCCTAGTGCCCTTCTGACATTCCCAAAATGTACTGGTTCCAGAGATTCCAGCCCAATTGAACCCAATCCATTCATGTTTCTCAATTGCTCTTGAACCATTGCTTGCTTTTCCGATAGTGCTACCCTATCCCTGTAGTGAAGGTCAGACCGCGAGAGACTTTGATCTAGAGCGTTAAGCTCCTTCACTAGCTCTTGCATATGTTGTGTTTGCTGCATATCAGCCTTCACGGCGGCATCCAGATTGTCTACATGGGGCACAGCATTCTTGTAATCACATAGCCGCATTCGATAGAATATGTGCAGTAATTCATTATAAAAGTGTAATCCGGGGCAATGTCGTCTCTGAGGAGTGTGTGGAAGCAAGGGGGGGAAGCATTAGAACAAAGGAAAAAAGAATCACGGTACAGTTCAATTGAAAACATGCAGTGTCGGAGTTTACATTGTCCACACAAGAAAAGCAAAAGGCTAAAGAACATTTGCACTCACTTTATCTGGCTCAATTGACTCCCAAATCTCATTACATTTATTAACAGCTTGCTCAACCAAATTATCATCGTTCCATTGCATGAGGTGAAAGTGCAATATTGAAGTGGCGAAAAACATCTGGTCCATCGTGATAAAACAAGAAATTACAGACAGAAATGATGGCAATATCATACTAGAGAGTCAGTTGACACGCTTGCAACATGTGTCAAGAGAAGTAAAAAGTACGACAATGGTGGTAGTTAAAAAAATGAAAGTGAGGACTTGAGAATAATGGAAAAAATAACAAAGCAAAAGTGAGAGTTTGTTTAATTAAAAAATTTAGTTCTAATTATATTTATAACTTCATTTACTTTGTCAATTTATTAAACAATATATATATAGAGAGAGCTAGTATCCTTTGAAATTTGATACCTCATCTGATAGGTGTTAGATCAAAAAAGAGCAGCAATGATGTCACATGCTTACAGCAATGGTGGTGTCACGTGCCTTACAGGTGTGAAACAATTTTTACACTGTGTTAAAGGATCTTACCTCATATATATATATATATATATATATATATATATATATATGAGGTAAGATCCTTTCACACCAATGTCAAATTTGAAATTTCACACCTCTGATTTGTAAGCACATGTCACCATGGCTTTTTTTTTATCTAACTACTATCAAATAAAAAATGAGAAATTTGACACGGGTGTCAAAGATGCTACCTGTATATATATTGAGTAACGAAAGAGCAGAGGAGAAGAGAAGAGAAGGAAAGAACATGTGTTTTGTTGTAACCTTGGACAACATACCTGCAACTCCGGGTAGCTTACTTCAGTAGCACAGACGTATCCACACTCCAAGGCAGAGATTGAACCCCGGTGGTCTCCTTCATTTAACAAAGCATTTGCAAGTTGTGAATTGAAGTTGCAAGACCACAACTTCATTGAAATCCTTCAATAAAAAAAATAAAATGAAGTAGAAAGTATGAATATGTAGTTAGTAAAAGCCAATTCATCAAGGATAAGTGATTGATTATGGTAGAACCAGAACCAAACAAGAATAGAAAAGGGACCGAAATATTGATTGATTAAAGGAGAGGAGAGGAGAGGAGAGGAGAAAGGGTTTACTCATGCGGAGCAGATGCGGTAAGGTGGAGGGCCTTGTATAAGACTTGCTTCTGAGGTGGTATGACTCCACCGAGATGGTAGCACTGGCTGAGCAAGCTATAGGTCCGGCACTTCAAATCAAAGCAAGACGGTATAGACTTCAAAAGCAATTGCTGAGAGAACAAACAAACAAACAAACAACAGAATGTTGAGGAGGAGGATTCGTTCAATTGAGATTCAGAGCGAAAGAAACAAAGAAATTGAGATTCAGAGAGAAAGAAAGAGGAAGAGAAGAGAATAAATATACTAACAGAACGCTCGAGGTGGGACTTGGCGTGGTTGAGGTTGTGGGAAAAATGGAGGAGGAGTGAGGCAATGCGGAGGCGAGTCTTGACCTCAACGATTGGGAAGAAAGAGACCTCACTCTGACAAATCGCTTCTAAACACTTGACTGCCTTCCCGATTTCACCTCTCTTCTCGTGATACTCTGCCAATCCCCAAAGCCCCTCCGCCACCGCCTCCATATCTTCAACCCACCAACCATTCCATTTCCATAATCCTTTCTTCCTTTCTTCTCTCTCTCTCTCTATTGCAATTTGCAGCTACCGCACTCCAAAGTCAATCGCCGTCAAAAATTAATATGAAAACAAAAAGAAAATTGGTCACCTCTCGTCCTCTCTTTCTCTTCACGTCTCCCCTTAACGGGCCCTTCTTGGGCTTTTTCTTGGGCCATTCACCATATTGTTTTTTTCATTTTTTTTTTAATACAATAATAACAAGGGCATGATGTTTATCATTTTGAATGGTATAAATTATGTTATTTTTTGAAGAGAGATAGACACAAGAAATGAAAATCATGGGTATTTTTTTAATTTAAATTTTAAAATAGTATTTTATGTTTAATCTCTCTTAAAATGACATAATTTTATATTATTTAAAATTACAAACATTTTTCCCTAATAATTACGCGTTAACTATAAAAATTTGTGTTCGAATTGAGGTTAAAGATCCCCTGTTTATCTCCTCCTGCTTGAAAAGCTTATGGTTTTAGACAACTAATGATTAAGCGTTTATGATTATTAATATCCCAATCAACCAATTAATAGCAAAATGGGATCAGCACCGACCAATAATTGTTATTGACAGAGGCAAGAGTGGCGTATTGCATATAGATATTGAGCTTGGCAGTCTGAACTGAACTACTGGCCATAGTTAATTAGAGTCGACACACTCAGCATTGTCAGTTGTTAGTTGTCACCCTTCTTCTTCTTCTTCTTCTCCCTCAGATTTGCTCTTCAAGGTGGGAGGAGAGGAGTATAATTGTGTTGAATACACTCACTGATATTAATATTTTATTTCAGATTGCTAGCTCAGTTTGTTTTTATTTTTTCAGTTTACTAACATTGTTTTATGATTTTTTTTTTCCAGTGCATTTTGATTAATTATTTATGAAAACAATCCTTTATTATAAAAGTTAATTTTACTTTGTGAAAATTATTAAATTAGAAGTTATTGATTACTTTTTAAATTAATAATTTTTTTTCAACAAATTATGAGTGTATATTTGACTTTAATAATTTCTCCTTCAAAAGTTTTTTAATAAGACTTTTTTTTATAAGTTGTAACCATAGTATATAAAATAAAATGATGTAAACAAATTTTTTAAATATTTTTTGTTATATCTTATTTCACAAATATGGAAGATAAATGTATTTTTATTTTCAAGCAGATAACTTTTTCAATTATTTCACATCTTTTTAGTAATTTAATGTATGAAAGTAATTCTCTCTATATAATTCAAACAAATTTTTTTGTCTTGAAATCATTTATACAATGAGATTGCAAATTGCCAACAAACGGTAAATAATATTCGTTTTCTTGATTGATTTTCTAACCAGTTGATTTATTTATTTTTTACGTGTATTATTCATTATTTTTACTTATATTTTTTATTGATTATATTACATTGTTATATTTTATTTTTATATTAATTACTTTATTGACTTTCTATTTAGTTGATATGTTTTTAATAATTTATTTGTATCAAGGCATGTCGTATTCTTAATTTAAAATTTGTAAATTAACCGTTCAAATCTTTTCTAAGCTGATTCAATATCAAATTAATAGGGATTTAATGTAAAAAAAAAAAAAATCAATGGAAGATTTAATCCCGATATTTCTTTTATCAGATTTTTTATTTTTAGTAATTTTCTGTCATTTTTTATGGATTGTTAAAGTCCAAGTGTTTTTTTTATTTAATTTCTCACACAAATATAACTGAAAAATAATGCCAAAGTACATCATAAATTTATGAGTAAATATTATTTTCGGTCGTCAACAAAATTTACGATGCCCGCTTTAGTCTCTAACAAATAAAAAGGTTGTTATTGACCATATAAGGGCTCATCAAGTGATAAGCCCAACAAGGGGCAATCCAAGATATGAATCAACACTAATCATGGATAGATATCCATCAAGGATACTAATCTTAATACGACAACATGGCAAGCAAGTCTGGGCCCTTATCAGAGGCACCAAAGGCCTATCCACACTACCTACAGGTAACCTCTATAAATACAAGGTAAACCCTAAAGGTACGTTACGCTCTCTCTCTCTTACTGTTATGCTGTCACTGTGCGCACACACACACCCCATTGGCTAACGCCGTTATAGTGTTTTGTGCACAGTGATCTACTTGACTCAATGGTATCTCGTTCATAGATACGTAGGAGAGGGCACTAGATCCAAGAGAAACATACCAGCCTATTGGGCTGGACATCTCTGTCTCAAGAACAGAACAAAGGTTATTCGTGATTCTTAAGAAATTCAAAGTGGACTCATTTTAGTCCTTTTGAGGGACTGATGTGGATCTTTTTTAAATTTTTGAGGGACCACGATTTCAACTAAATTACAAAGGTAACAGGCATTCCGAACCTTCATTGAGTCTTGACGGTAGGAGGATCTTCAGACACCGCGACCTCTTTACCGGATGGATTGGCTGACTCGACCTCCTTCCTGGGTTGATTAGTTGCCTCTTCACCATCCTCAATAGTAGCACCTTTTTCGGATTGAGTAGCCGAAACGCGAGAAGGAGAGGTGGCAACAGGTGGAATGATTTGACCATTGCTAACATATGCACGAGCATTCAAACCGACTAGATTCAAAGACACATCGGGATTAAGTACTTGGAGTTGATTAAGGGCATTATAGAAGGACCCGGTGACCGATTTCTCAAGTTCACCACGGTACAGCTGGGCATTACGCTCGGCTTCCTTCACCCTGTTCTCCAGCTTTTCGTACATCCTCCGGAAGTCATGCATCCTAACAGCCTCGGCAGGTTGGTCGTCTTGAAACTTTCCATATTCTGCCTTGACCTTGTCAGCTTGGCAGCAGTTTCGTCAAACTTCTCCTTCTTAGAGGACAAATCATTCTTCGCCTTCGGAAGCTCAGCATAGGTCTTGGCCTTCTCTTCCCGAGATATGGATGCCTCATTCAAAGACCGAAGATAGTTTTGCTTAAGAGTCAACAGTGGCATAGCCATCCCGGCCATCTTCATACAGCATAGCTCCAACTCTTCCACCTCCTTAATCTGAGTGGCGTTAAGAGCAGGCGAGTTGTAAAAATACTCTGGAGCGCAGACTGCATCCCGGAGAACTTTGTTCATCCCGCCTTGCCACACTACGTGTTTCACAAGCTCGGGTTGGGGAGGTGAAGAAGGAGATTTCATTGCTTGCTGAGCAGAAATAGAAGCACGGGCATCAGTAACGCCTACCTTGCCTTTGGTACTACCCAAAGATGAAGAACCTTTAACAGCCACCGTTTCTTTGGCTTTCCTGGGGTCGCCCTGGAAGAGCTCAGCGGTTTTCCTCTTCCTCGGTAACCCGGCAGCGGCAGCCTTAGATTAGTTTAAAACCAACAACCAGCTAGGAGGATCATTTTGTTGATTCTCCATGCTGGGTACTGCAAAAAAGAAAAAGTAAGTTACAATGTCAAAACCAGTATAACAAATATGCAAGGGGAGGATTAAAGAAAGCGATCCATACTCAGTTCAGCGTCAAGATCCTCTTGGGACTTGAAAAGAAGGGATGCGACACTAGCATGCTTATGTGACAGAAGATACGTGCCAATGGCAATGGCACTGTCAATATCAGAAGGGCTCAATTGGGTCTCTTTGAAACGGTAACTCGAGGGAGGAAGTTGATAATGGTCAAAAGACCAGTGCAAAGGAAATTTTCCCTCCGCGTTACCGGCATTAGAGGCGTCGACAAACCATACGCTGTTACCAGGATGGGTAGCAACTTTAAAGAACTTGTCTTTAAAGTTTTTAAACGAATCAATGTAAACTCGAAAAAGTTTACGATTAGGGATAACTCGAATGGTAACCCAACCTTTTCGTTCTGCCGGTTCCCGACCAGTTCGAGGAGTAAGCACTTGAAAAAAGAAAAAAAAGAAAAAGAACACACATACAGAAGCCGAAATTGCAAGATATGAGCAGAAGCGCTCAAAAGCTTTAATAAAGCCCCAACCATTGGGGTGAAGTTGGGTGGGAGATATCTGGAGGTGATTCAGAAGATCAATTTGAATGTCGGTTAACGGAAAACGGACTCTGAGTTGAGTCACGACATCTCGGAAAAAGAAAAAGAAAATGGGCTCTCCTGACCTCCCACTAGAACAAATGGGTTCGTCTTCTTGTGGGGGGACTATGTTGTAGTTCTCTAACTCCCCCACTGGAAAGGCTGCCACGTCGCCCGGACCCATCTCGAAAATAGTATTCAAAACTTCATAAGTGACCCAGGGAAACTGGGATATTAAAGAGGTGGAGGGACGTGGGGGATACGACTCGGTAGAACTCGACTCTTCTACTACCTCTGGAGGAGGAGATGCCATAAAACCTAAAACAAGAAAAGACAGGAATCAGAAAAGAATCAGAATTCCTGAATCACAAAGGCTATCAAAAGAATCACTAGATGATGATGACGATGGCAAATCGAAAATCATAATAGGATCATCTGCTCCACCCGACGCAAATGTGGATTTCAAAATGTCTCAATGCCGGCAAATAGCCAAAGTAGACTCGGCCAAAGAGTCGCACCCTTGCTCGACAAGCTTCGAACTCAAGTAAACACAAGAGTAACACGGGACACTCTGTGGGATAGGGGAAGAATGTGAGAAAGCTTGGATGTTGGGAAGGGATCTCGAAGGAAACATAGGCTGGCTAGAAGGCCCTGCCCCGGGTTGGGGAAACGGGAGTGAAGCATGCATGTTTGTGTTATGACGATCCATAGCCCGGTTTGACGAGCCTCTACCCCGGGGATGCCCCGAATCTCTTTTGGACATCCCGGACCTTTTTCGAGATCTACTACCACGGCAACCTCGAAGCATAGCTTCCCGTTCTTCTTCTTCGGTCCTGGGAATCCCCCAAAGCCAGAAGCGAGCACCAGGAGGAATCTTTTTGAAAAAAACAGAATCCTTCTTCTTCTTCCCTTTACAATACAAAGCTGAAGAAGAAGGGTTTTTACCCCTCATTTGGTTAAAACACTAAAAAAATGATGAGATTTCAAATAGCACAGGGGGAGACAAGGACGACAAGGTGATAAACACTAGAATGACAGGAAGAAACACACAAGCTTTGGGAAGCGAAAACTATATATGCAATGAGAAGACAAAAGAAAACCAGCAAAACGACGTATACAGAGCAAACAACTCAAAATTGAAAAATCAAGCACGGGGACGAGGAACAAAATGCAGACATTTCAATGCAAAAGAAACAAAAATGGAACACGAGTGAAATACCTGTCAAAAACGTTGAGGTACCAATAAGATGAAGAAATAAGTTTGCGATGCTGAGACTCAAAAAAATGAGGTTGATGCACAATGCTCAGAAGGTAAACAAAAGCAGGTAACATGCGATGGAGGCTTATATAGGCATGACTACTGATCATTAGGGTTACGAATGACAAAGGTCAGGGCTATAAAGGTCTTTGCACTTCTACATAATAACTGCAACAATCATAGGAGGTAACCGCAATCGTCATGGGCGGTAACCACAGTATGCTGAAACGGCAAAGGTCAGGGTCCATAGTGTCATTTCACTCAAAAAACAATGATTAGACAACTGAAATGATGTTGCAATAAATGCGCACGAAACGCGAAAACGGCATAGAACGGCTACAACACGCTAAAGCACGCGGGCTATTGCACGTGGCAGAACGCAATAAGTACTACTCATAAAACAACAGATAACATAGGACACGTACATATGCAGCCGGGTTATACGCCTGATGCTTGGGGGCAACTCGCCAGTTGGATCACAACTACTCAAGCACATCCGTTACCCGATTGCCCGTGTAAAGTATCACGTCGGGCTCATGCTAAACTCGGCGTCCAAATAACCAAACGCATAAATTAAACACTCCAGTTAAGGTGTGATGCTTGAGGGCAACCCGTCAGTTGGATTCCAACAGCTTAAGCGCACCCTTATCTCGGCGTGCAAATACAAATGGTTGATGCTCAACCTGCCGAAATAAAGGACAAGGAGAAACCGTCTTGGTAGCAAGCCACAAACTCGGAATAAGCATAAGGGCCGACGTTTGACGGGCAACTCGCCAGTTGGACCCCAACGGACCAGGCCTACCCCTGATCTAGAAGAAAAGGGATACAAGAAATATCTTCCCGGGTTGATGCTCAGCCCGACGACATAAGGGGCAAGATATACCCTACACGGAAAAATTCCAGAATAGGAGGAACATGCCAAAGTTTGAAGGTTTGCAAAAATGCAAACGCGTTCAGGGGCAAAAAACCTGAAGAGATGCACACATAAGTTCACCCCGACTACCCGGATGCCCAGGTAGCCGGGTTGAGGGGCAACTGTTATGGACCCATATAAGGGGCCCATCAAGTGATAAGTCCAACAAGGGGCAATCCAAGATATGAATCAACACTAATCATGGATAGATATCCATCAAGGATACTAATCCTAATACGACAGCATAGCAAGCAGGCACGTGCCCTTACCAGAGGCACCAAAGGCCCATCCACACTACCCACAGGTAACCTCTATAAATACAAGGTAGACCCTAAGGGCTTATTTGGTGTGATGTATAAGGCATGATAGTATAAGCTTATACTATACATTATGACATTTTCAGTTGTTTGGTGTGACCATCGTATAGTATAAGCTTATACAGCAGGATCCCTTTATACATCAAAATGATGTATAACTTAATCCGGCCTAGGAGTGGTGGATTAGGCCTGATAAGGGGTTGATGTATTAATATTGCTTATAAGTACAATTTCCAAGAACTAATATATCATTTCAATATTTATATATTAAAATAAAATTTTTTAATATATTAATTTTTAAAATATTGAAGAATATTATCTTATACAATATCATACCAAATGCTGCATAGTATTAATATTTAATCAGGTCTTATACAATCAGGTCTTATCCTATACTATGCACCAAACATGCCCTAAAGGTACGTTACGCTCTCTCTCTTACTGTTATGCTGTCACTGTGCGCGCACACACACCCCATTGGCTAATGCTGTTATAGTATTTTGTGCACAGTGATTTGCTTGACTCAAGGGTATCTCTCATAGATACCTTGGAGAGGGCACTAGATCCAAGAGAAACATACCAGCCTATTGGACTGAACATCTCTGTCTCAAGGACAAAACAAAGGTTATTCGTGATTCTTAAGAAATTCAAAGTAGATCCAATTTAGTCTTTTTGAGGGACTAATGTGGATTTTTTTGAATTTGTGAGGGATCACGATTTCAACTAAATGTGTCCATTTTAAATTTCTTGGGAACCACGAATAACCTTTTTATTTGCTAGGGACTAAAGCGGGCATCATAAGATTTGCTGAGGATCAAAAATGGTATTTACTCTAAATTAATTTTGATACACTATCATATTTTCTTGTGCTATTATTTTCTTATTTGGCACAGTTCATTTAAAACTTTCTTATTTAATTTTGGACATAAATTAAATTTTAAACTAATTTTTTAGAAACAAAAATAAACTTTCATTAATGGAAACATTTAATAAAAAAATATTTCTGCAGTTACTACAGATAAGTTATCTATATTTATTCTCAAAACGACGTCGTTTTGATATTGAAATCTTAAAAAAATTATAAATATAAAGATTATTATAACCCTGAAATAAATTAAAATTACAAAAACACCATGATTTTCATCTCAAAACAACGTCGTATTGAACTTATCTGTAGTAACTGCAGAAGAAGCGAATCCAACATTTAATCCTTAATTTTATTATATTATATTATTTGTAATCAATTTCAGTCAATTATTAGTGTTACTTTCTAATAGTAAGGAGACATCACGGAAGATAAAAGAAAAAATAATTAATCTTAATCAATTAGATTCAATTTTAATTAGTGGAGATATTTATTATTGTGCTTTTGATGTATTCTACTAATTTTATTTAATTAATCAAAAATCACCTTTATGAATGGGGACATAAGGATGCGAAGAAAAGTATTTAAAAAAACATGAAAAATATAAGATATTCCTTATAAAAGTTTAGACATGCATAACTCAACATAACATACACATTAAAGTCTTTAAACAAGTTATTCTAATAATGACGCACTCATTAAAAAACTGGCTTATCTCATTTTAATTTTCTAAACGTGAATTTAAATGCTAACCTATACACCATATAACTCAATAATAAGGACGTTATCATATCATATCATATAATAAAGAATTCTTAACTAAGGATTAAAAACAGCCGGTACTAACAGGTGTTAAAGAAAAGTAAATTAAGGTAAGTATTGAGTCAAATTAGAATAGGGATAATAAGTAATTGAACAGAAACGTCACAGCAAATGAATGGGAATACTAAAATCATAATTAAGTCAGGATCTTCAAAAAAACAGATACAATCTATTAAAATGGTAACAAAATGAGAGACCTTGCGCATGTGACTGGTAATGTAAAAAAATGTTATATATAATATAGTAAAGAGAAGAATGGTGGCTCACTGGCCACAACAGAAGTTAGAATAAGCTTCTCCCCACCAACTTGAAAACAGAGGGGAACAAGGTTAACTGTTAAAAGAGTTTGGTTTTCATCAACATCACGGTTAAATGTAAAAAAAATATATATATATATAAATAAAGCAGCTGAAAAAATGTTAATCGTCAAGATCAAGATCGACCCCTATGCGATTTTTTAAAATGGTTTTGGCATCTAAAGGAGATTTGCACTTGCACTGAAGCTCCTTGAACCTATCAACATCAAAGTTATACCTCTTGTGAAGCTTCCTCTGCCTTGAAAGAAAGAGCCTCTTGAGGAAGTCTTGGTAAGTAGGGTCTCTGGAAGTGAATAAAAAGTAGGCATAGCCAATGACTAAGCCAGTAGATGTTGTAAAAAATGCAATTGGTTCCATAACATCCCATGAGAATTCCCAGAATGTTAGCCTGAAGAATAACCCAACAGTAACTACACCAAACCCCAGTCCAGACCACAGGATGCGCCTCACCTGCTTATGCGCCAACACATCAATTTCTTCCTTCTTCTCCATCAGCATCCTTAACTCCTCTCTCACTGGATCATTCTCAGCAGTCAGTGCCAATGGAACAGCTCTTCTAACCAGATCCACCACCTGATCAATCACAATAAAGGAATCAGCATTCAGTTACTGACAATTACACTTGATTCTAATCTGACTACGGGATCACCCTCTTCACCATCACAAAGGCCCTGAGCCTCTTTGTTTTCAATAGCTTCCACACAAGTCTAACCACCAAGGGCAAGGCTAGCTAGAGTTAAAATTCATGAAAACATTAAGAAAATTTTGGGAATTTCAAATTCATTTCCTAGTAGTTCAGCATTCTTTGCCAGGCTGCGGACAACTGGTACCAAACTGTATATACATAAGTAATACTGTCAAGTCTTGAAATTTGAGAATTCTAATTTAACCTAGTTTTCCTCTCAAATATGAAAAGAAAAAGGATGTATCGGCATCAAAACTAAGAAAAGAAAATAAGGTGCATATATAGTGAGCGAGTGAAAACAGCAACGGAATAGTCAAATAAGATGCATAGATTAAGACACTGACTGTGTGAAGATCCTGAAAAATGATATAGAGAATGGAATATTCAAAAAAAAAAAAGTGTCTTCTGTAGTTCTGTTCATGTTTTAGAAGAATGAAAACAGATAATGGAATAATAAAAAAAATTGTATTCCGTAGTTCTTCCTTAGTACTAATAAGAGTCATATCGAATGGAGAGATTCTAACATCTACGGTCCCAAATATAGCCCAACAGAAGTGAAGTGAAGTGAAGTGAAATGCAGGTTAATACACTTTTATATCTGTCACGCTTTATGTGAGCCCCACAAGTCCAAATTGTACTCTTAGGTTAGGCCAACCATTTAAGGAAACAAGTAAAAAGGACAAGAGGGACCAATAAAAAAAGTTAACACTCGCCTTATCAGGATGCAGATAGACCTTGTCCCGGAAGAGGAGAATAACACCAGCCTCATCCAGAACCTTGGCAAATGCTGTAGCCTCCTCAGGATTCCTGGCAACACCCATGCTCTCACACGCTTCAAGAAGCTCACAGTAGGGAATGACTTCCTTCCCATCCATACCAAGCTTCTTCTTGAGGGATTCCACATTCACCAATCTCATAAGCTTCTTAGCTTCAGAGAAGGAGATGGATTCTTCTTCTTTTCCATTACCATTGGTGACGCCGCCATTCCCAGATGAATTAGAGTTGCCACCAGCAGGCGTTGAAACAAAAGTTGAGGAAGACACACCCCTCTTGATCTGGTTCAGCACAGTAACTGATAAACATGCCACCCCTCCTCTCCTTCCACCGCATTCCACAGCAAAATCCCTCAAGCCCAACAAAATGGGATCAAAAGGATGAAGCTTTCCCCCATTACCATGGATTCCATTAAAAGTAGCAGATACCCTTTGCCCCAATGATCCAACACCGCCACCAGCACACCACCATCTACTCCACATTTTGAAAACCCACCAAAAAATTACCAAAACTTTATGCGCAAAAACACAAAAATCAGCCAAAATAAACACAACCCATCTTTTCCTTTCTCCTCTTGTATCTTCAAGAACTACGAATCATGGAGACTGATGCACAAAGTTAACAACTTTAAAATAAAAAAAAGGAAAACGTGTACATTTATTATTGCTAAAAAATAAAAGAGGAAACGAGGAAATAAAGGCAAAGACAGCGGATAAGGAAAAAGAGTAAAGCAAAAACCAAATTTGGGAAACCAAACCCAAACCATGCGCAGCAAAAAATAAGGTAAACACGTTGACGAAGCTACCATTCTCACAACCACAAGTGAATACCTACGGAACCATTACACACAAAACGGACACGGACAAGTTTTAAAATATTATAACACTCCTCCTAACATTTACAATTTAACTACAAAATATAACTACCAAAAAAAAAAAAAACTACAAAATATAAAATTAAAATAAAAATATATATTTTTTGAGACCGATGTAAAATTAAAAAATTAAAACTAAATCTTAATTATTGATTTTATTAATTTAATAATTATAATTTATTAAAAATTAATAATTATTTAATAAATAAATTATAATTATTAGAATCATAAAAAAATAAACGGTTAAATTTTAATATTTTTTTTTTTAGTTTAACACAGAATCAAGCCCCAATTTTAAAAATTAGTATTAATAAAATATTGTCATTTATGCTGCTAGAAATATGCAAAGGTTAAGGGTGGTAGTGCGGTGCGTGGGTCAGGTCGGGTCAGGTTTTAGTCCGACTCGACCCAACTTGGTTTTTATAGGTCAGGTATCTTGACCCGACCCGCTTTAATTTGATCTAAGTCAGGTCTGACTTGGTTTGAATTTTGTTGAACTAGTTCAGAACTGGATCGGATCTGACCTGACTTGGTTTCTGAAGTGGATCTGACTTGGTTTCTGAAGTGAGTCAAATCTGACCTGACCCATTTTTGACTTGGTTTCCTCACAAAATTTCATCGAAATTTCTACCTTGCAAATGACGAGAATTTCGTCACAAAATTATTTTTTCGTCGGAATACTTTTTGTCGAAAAGCAACGAAATTTTTTCTCTAATGAAAATTGTTACAAAAATAAATTTTCTATCGAATTTAGTTTCCGTCAAAAGTTTTGACGAAAATGATTTCTTCCATCAAATGTTTTAAACGAAAAAAAAAAAATTTCAAAAATTTTGACGGAATGTTTTTCGTTCAAAATTTCGATAGGAATGTGTTCTGACGAAAATTTCAATGGAAATTGTTTCGAAAAAAATGTTTCATTCAAAACTTTCGATGAAATTTAGATTCTCTAAAGAATTTTGACAGAATATTTTTTTCGTCAAAATTTTTTATCGAATTTTTTTTTTTACAGAAATGTGTTCCGTAGAAATTTTTGATGGAAATATTTTTTATCAAAAAACTTAACGAAAATATTTAGTTGAAAATTTTCGATGGAAATGTATTTCGCTAAAAATTTCGACGAAATTTTTTTTTGTCAAAAAGGTTAACGAAAATTTTTTCGTCGAAAACTTTCGCCAAAATTTGAAATCTGTAAAGAATTTTGATGAAATTTTTTTCCGTCAAATTTTTTTGATGGAAATGTGTTTCGTCCAAATTTTCGATGGAAATTGTTTTGAGGGAAATGTTTCATTCGAAACTTTCGACGAAATTTAGATTCTCTAAATAATTTTGACAGAATATTTTTTCCGTCAAAATTTTTATCGAAATATTTTTTGTCAAAAATTTTTACGAAATTATTTTACAGAAATGTGTTTCGTTGAAAATTTTGATGGAAATAATTTTTATCAAAAAACTTGACAAAATATTTAATCGAAAATTTTCGATAGAAATGTGTTTTGTTAAAAATTGCGACGAAATTTTTTTTTGTTAAAAAGTTTAATGAAAATGTTTCCATTGAAAACTTTTGCCGAAATTCGAAATCTGTAAAGAATTTTGATGAAACTTTTTTTCTGTCAAAAAATTTCGATGGAAATGTGTTTCGTCGAAATTTTTGATGAATATATTTTTTTGCGAAATATTTTGACGAAATTTAGATTCCGTAAAAAAAATTGACAAAAAAAATATTTCGTCAAATTTTTTTATGGAAATATTTTTAGTCACAAATTTTGATGAAAATATTTTTCGTCAAAAAATTTTGAGAAAATTTTTTGTAGAAATATTTTTCTTAAAAAAATTTGATGTAATTGTTTTACGTTAAAACTTTTCTTTTAATGTAATTGTGATTTTCTTTTTTTTTTCACATAATTGGTATGGGTCAAGTTTTGAGTCAATAAATCAGTATTAAAACAAGTCAGGTCTAAAACTGACCCAAATAAAAGTGAGTCAGTATTTAAACCAGTTCAAAAAATATAAATATTCATGAGTCAGGTCAAGGTCGGATCAAGAGCAACAAATGAACTAATTTTTTTGCATAGGTGGTCGAAACGGAAAGGATGTCGATTTTGGGGTGTTGTACTTATCCTGGCAACTAATACCATATGGACGCGGCTTTTCATTTTTCTCGTTGAAAATAACAATCATATAATAATACTTTCTTTTTTATACATATTTTTATTGATTTTTAGATAGAGCACCACCTAAGCATCGGAGAGCAAATCAATTGCAAACCAAAGTTGAATTCCAAGCTGCAATGTTCGTTCTCATCTTTCATGTTCGAATTTATAATTTATTTATCATACGCATAACGTGATGTATGCTATCTAAATATAATGTATAAGTGAACAAGCACATAACGTCTGGATAGACAAATATGTCACATGTTTGAATCTTATAAGTCAAGATACTATTCTATGCGTAATGCGTGCATAGAATAGAGCAGCACATATACACGAGGTTCACTTGCTGTGTTTTGCTTTTGTAAGAGTTTTGACCAAACCCTTGGCGATCTTCCAGAACCAAAATATGTTCATTATTGCCAACACAGGAGGCACCACAAGCAAGCTGTAAAAACCCAAAGGAAAGATCCCCTTCACCTGAAATTTACAAAATAGAGTTTTGATTTAGTGGCAACATGACAGCAGGTGTACTGTAAAGGGTAAATTTCAAGAACTCGAGCATATGTTAACCTCATCAAAATGGGTCCACGCGTGGAAAAAAAGGAACATGAACAGGAAAATCCTTGCAACCTGCAACACGGTAGTAAATAATTAATTAACCATAAAATGTATAAAGGGATGAAATCACTCTGCATATAAAGCATATTAAGATCTGTACCTGGAACTACCAAGAAAAGTAGTTCCACACTTCCTTAGTTTTATTACAACCACTGGAACTGAGAAACATCAAAGTTCATTCACGGCAAAGTTTGAAATCCTTGCTTACATCTATTGTACATCAAAAGACTAAAAGTTTCTCCATCTGTTGTTAAAAAAGCAAATAGCTTCAGCATTTAAAGCATGTCATTTTTTAGGTGGATGACATAGACTTACCTATATCTTTATCATATTCTAGACAGTATAATTAACCTACCTAATTTAGTGGTGTTTGCTCTCTTGTACAAAAGCTCTAGTAAGCTACCCACTTGTGAATATTTTTATATTTTTTATTAATAAATAAAGCTTTGGTTTAAGTATTTTCATAATGCTTCATACTCATACATGCAATATTCAGTTTTTATTTTGTCAGAAACGTTTTAATTATCTTTGTTCTGAGTACGGCTCATCCAGAACCAGAGAGAAAATTAAAAAATGAAAGAACCAAAATAAAAATCATACATCGTCATAAGCAATTTCTTCAGATCATTACACAACTTATCATACACGCAGTATTCATACAGAGGAATTAGAGTTGAATCAAGAGTATAATAGACAGTACCAACCATCCGAAGAACAATGCAATACCATTCCCAATGTAAAGTTTGGTGTTCTTAAGACCAGCAATATCCAAGTACCTGTTAATTAATGTAATAAGTAATGTTGACAAAAGTACATGAAGGTAAATGAATTTCTGAACAACAGATTTACCATCTTAGATTTACAAAAGGAGTAGTGCTCTCGGAGAAAAGAACCATTAGTACGTAAATCTGAACTTGACCACTTAGCAGAGACAGTACTATAGAAAACATGGATAGCCCGTGGTGTAGAACCTAAATGTAAATTAATGAAGTAGGTTTACCACTTGCAAATCATATAACTTGGATATTGAGTTCAACATATCATGAAAGTAAAACAATGTGCAAAAATAAATAAATAAAAATCTGGTATCAAATAATGCATTGCAATATCATAAATGTATTAACAATAGCAAGAAAGCTTATATCTTTTCTACTTACATATTCCAAACCCCCTAAAGCTGGAAAATGCCAAAGAATCATCGCCAGATCAGTTAGAAAATAACCAACAGAAACCTGTAAAAAGAAACATAATGAAACAAAAGAGAATAAGTAAGCCAACTGCCATAAATAAATTACTAAGAGTTTTGGAACAAACAGAATCTTAATAATGCTTAACAGTAGTGTTGCTAATAAGATTGTTATGATACAAACAGCCAAATTTTGCTTATATCTTCGTCAACCCACCCCCAATACTGTATTTGATAAAGTTGATGATCTATTAATAACTAGATCGTCATTTGAATCCTCATCGAAGATATCTGATAAGATCAGGAGGTAGAAAGATGCAGATGATACAAAAAGGGCGTGAAATGTAGAGAATCCCCTGCATCACAAAATGGGTTAATACTTTTAAAAAAAATAAAAATTGATATAGTCAATGCAAACAGGAATATAATGCAAGGCATTTCACCGGTTATTCCATTCAATTTTCTCCGCACTGCTCAATTTGCCATATACCTTGAACAGCAGAGAACTCAAAATAGCAGTTGATGTATGAACCTTCAAGAAGGAACAAAAAGGTCAAGCTTCACAGTTACTAACAAAAAGTTCTCTAATACGATTGGTGTTTTTTTTTTTCAAGAATTATCCCCATTCAGATAAAACTGAACATATATTGGACCAAAAGAACAAATTGAAAGACAACAAAAATAGATTGTGTTCATACAAAACATAAAAAAAAAAAAAAAAACTAGAAGTTAATCCAATCTTAAATTATTTTTGGAGTAAAATAACTAAATAATAAGACTGAACTGAACCATACCAACTCAAACTGAAGAAGCCAATAGAGCAATTAACTTAGCTTCACAAGAAAAATATAAGGCTTCAAGTTCCTATTTGTGGTTTGGAGACAAGAGACATGTTACCAAATCTTAAGAAGCAACATTAAAATCAGATACAAATAATGAACAGTTGAGTTTACTTACAAGAAGACATGAGATGATGCCCGAGAAGATAGATGCCAGCCATAGGAGTTGTTTGCTTGAACCAATAGAAGAAGTCAATTCCATCATGTCCCCTTGTCCAAATTTGCTATATCAAACCAAACTGCATCAAAGACGTGACATGATATGCATAAGTGCCTGAGCTCAAATACAAAGATAGTAGGTGCACTCTTCTCTTAATGAAGAACTTAAACAAACAAAACATGGAAAGGAAGGACCTAATTATCTATTCTGACATTTATTGAAAACCCATTTCGTATGACTTTTGACACATTATGGCCCCCCATTTCACATACCCTGATTGACTAAATTTCTTGGAAAACAAACAGACCCTACCAGAAGAAGTACAAAATGGGACAATAAAACAAAAACAAAAGATATTTTTTTAAGCCCCTTATTTTTTAAAAAAAAAAAAAATTTTTTTTTTGGGTAAGGATCGTTTTACACTGGTGTAAGTTACACTCTCAATCTTATCCGTTGATTCCATTTATATCTAATGGCTCAAATTTTTTAGTAATGCGAGTCATTGGATACAAGTGGATCAATGCTCATGATTGAGTGTAAGACTTATAACTCTTACACCGGTGTAAGAATATCCTGTCTCATTTTTTTTTGTTATAAATAAATGATTTTTTTAAAATAAATTAATTAATTTCTATTTTTTAAAAATAAAATATATTATTAAAATATTTTGTTATAAAGTTCATCTAAACTTACTCTCAATATACAAGTGACCATTGTTTATCATTATGATTTATGAACGAAGAAGTTATTGAAGATGGGCACGCTGCACGTAATAGGCGGGTTCCTGATGTAGAATCTTCACCTGTTCACCCTTTTTCCTTGCTTTTATTCACTGATCTTGATTATTCAAGGATGTTTAGAGACAATGACCAAAATGTCACGTTTTGGCAAAAAAATTATCAAAATGCCATGCGAATAGTTAAATTTCTCAAACTGCCACGCGGCATAATTCGCTACACAGAGTAGCGAATTATGTATGTAAGTAATTCGCTACACAGTGTAGCGAAATATGCTACGTCAGAATGCACAGAACCAAAAAGTGCCATGTGTCAGAATGTTGAAATTCGCTACATAGGGTAGCGAATTTCAACAATTTTGACACATGGCACTTTTTGGTTCTGACGTGGCATATTTCGCTACATTGTGTAGCGAATTATTTGCATGCATAATTTGCTACACTGTGTAGCGAATTATGTCGCGTGGCAGTTTGCAAAATTTTACTGTTCGCGTGGCATTTTGATAATTTTTTTGCCAAAACGTGGCAAAATAGTCACTGTCCCGAATGTTCAGGGGCATTTAGATTGTTTTTTATTTTAATTTTTTTGAAAAAAAGTATTTCACAATTTAACATGTGTTTCAAACTTTGCAAAAAATAAAATAAAAGCCACAACAAAAATCAAAATACCACCTTAATAAGTTCAAGTAATCCCCTGTTTCATAAGTCAAATTTGAGCTTCTAGTCAGCCTGATTTGACTTGCTTTCATCCTTACTTACAAATATCCTCTAGTGTTGTTTCGATTGACCTTGCTTGTATTCCAGCAAACTTTGGTCCCAACTAACGATTCCCCAAAGGAGAAGAAAATATAATAAGGGGTATGAAACATTAAGCATTAGATATCATAGTTGCAGCACTTGAGTCTTAAAAGACTGAAGTAAATGCCAAGTTTGCTTTAAGTTATTTGATATTTTATTATCTGCTTTTAATATATTATCATCTAATCGTTTATTAAAGACTTGAATTAAATTTAATCTCATGATGAGTATGTATATACTATGCTATGTATTATATTTTTTAGAGTGGTATAATATTCTTAGCACATTAGAATTTCTCACTAATTTGATGACTCCTAATTTGGCGCTTCGTCTTAAGAGACTTATTTCTTCTAACTTGCATGTCAATAGGAGTGTAAATCAGTTGGACAAAGTTAAGTTTTAGCTTAAACAAGCCAAATTTATGAAAAATATTTTGAGCTTGGTTTAGTCCATTAGCCTAGTACAAGCTAAATTCTAGATTTGGCTTGAGCTTGGCTTAGATCATTTATAATTATAAAATGTATTTTTTCAAACTTATATACGTCCAAATGTTGACACTATAAATGCATCAAATTCTGTATTCCTTTGTCAGAGAAAAAACAATTATAGAACCCACTCATTCTACATGTAATTGCATCTTTCATGCTATCTAGCCGGAACAAAAGAAATAACATTTTAAATACATTCAATTATCCCATTAGAAATTCGATTCATGGGCTAGTTTGGAACCAATTCAAGATACATTAAAGTCGAGATTTCATGACAGAGGGAGGAAAGGAGAGACTAATAGTCAGAGAGTTTGTTTGTGAAACTATGACTGTGAGAATGCCAATAGACAACCCTAAAAAAATGGGTTAAAAAATAGGATTAATGATTCTGTGACATAAAAATTATATTATCTATTAAAATAATATATCAGGCCAGTTCACGGACTTTCAAGTCAAGCCTTATCATATTACACTTGGGCTTATTTGCTAAACAAGCTATTTTTAAAGCTTTTATTAACCAAGTCAAGCCAAGCTTAAAGTAAGCCAAGGCTTGAGCCCCTGACAAGCCATTCAGTCCATTTACACCCCTACCCACCATAAAATTAATCGACACTACTTTTTATTTGTTTCAATGAAGACAATCAACCCGTCAAAAGGTACTTCCCAATATATGCTTTCATTTTGTTAATAATAATTCTCCCTCGTGTGTGTGTGTATATATATATATATATATATGGAAAAAACTAGTCTTATGCCATAGGAGATAGGTTTATTTTCCTACAGAGACATCGATCCTTGAGCTTTTTTATTTTTTATTTTTTTTATTTTATAATTATGCGGGTCCCACCACGTGATTGTGAGAGTGGTAGGAGATATTTCTCTCCTATTGATGGAGATTAATAAAGCCCTATATATATATATATATAGATGGTTATATTTACAAACTCTTACACTCTTACAAATTACATTATGTACTCCCGAAAGTACACTAGATTACACTATGTACTTTCGGGAGTACATAATATAATTTGCAAATATTTGTATAAAAAGTTTGTAAATGAATTCTTCCCTTATATATACATATATATATATATACACAGACACACACACACACGAAAGAAACATCCTTTACAATTATGATACTCTTAAGACATATTTGGTGCATAGTATAGGGTAAAGCCTAATAATATAAGACCTAATTAAATTTTAATATTATCCGGTATTTGCATGATTTTATATAAGATAAGAGGGAGGATATTTTGACTACCAAAAATTTCCACTACCACCTTACTACCTATCTAATCACCATTGGATTAACATTTTCTCTCTCTTCAAAAACTTTTTAACATTCTCTCTGTTTGATCCAATGGTGATTTGATAGGTAGTAAGGTGGTATTGGATATTTTTGGTAGTCAAAATATCCTCCCTCATAAATAATATTATCCAATATTTAGTAATTCACTGTATAATATTAGATATGACAAAAATATTCTTTATTACGATCTGATAGATCGAGATGTCCAATCAAAGATTGATATGTTAATATAGGATCTGTTTGCCCTCTCTCAGGTACCTATAGGGGAGGTACCCTAGAGATCAGTGGATCGTTGTGCACAATAATACAAACGACATAGTCAAGACATGATGTGTGTGCACAGTGACAAGTTAAAATAGAGAGTTTAGAATGTATGTACCTTGTTGGTTTAACCCTTTATTTATAGATAGATTACCTGACAAGAGTGGACTTCTAGACCTCTCAAAAGTGTTAGAGGTCCAATTGTTGATCCATTGTTGCCGTAATAGAATTAATATAATTAAAGAATATTTCATTAATTCTCTCTTAACTGTCAGCCCTATTTGGGTCTTCTATAATATGGACCTTTGACAGATCCATAACACCCTTTAATAGAGAATTTATATAATTGTTTCAAATATGTCATATAATATTAATTTTTGTAAAAATCTATTGATTAGTGTGTCCAAAAAATTATTTTATAAAAGTAAAAACCTCCAATATTTTAAAAATTAATATATTGAAAATTTATTTTTATTTTAATACATTAATATTAAAATAATGTATTATTATTGAGAATTACACTAGTCAACAATATTAATACATAACCTCTTATCAGACTTAATCTCACCCTCTTAAACTTAATTAAGTTATACATCATTTAATATATTAAAAGATTATGTTATATAAAATTATACTATACGATAATCACATCAAACAATTAAAAATATCAAAAAATATAAACTTATACCAGCAGCCCTTTTATATACTATCAGTCTTTATACATCACACCAAATATGTCTTTACATAGTTAATTTCAGAAAGAAGTTCGGACAAGCATCTTCCCAATACTAATAAAATAAAAAAATAAAAAAACTTCAAATCAATATCGTAATATTTTGAAAAGCTGCATTTTCAACTGCTTCATAATTCCCTGGTAACATATCTAGCAGCACAAAACCCAACATTTGCAAATTGTGCAAAGTTAAAGATGCATGTAGCATTGAAACAAGCTTCAGAAAAGAACATAAATGAAATTCAAACTGCATCCGGTAGTTATTATTAACAAGCTACTCCAAGCTTTAATGTCCATAGAACTGAAATCTGAAATTACACAAAAGCCAAAACATATTTACAAGCACCCAAGCTTATTACATGATCCAAGTCAGCTTAAGTGCCCTTCAGGGATTGTCATCATCATCTAAAAGACTAATAACCTCCCTGTATATAAGCATTCAAGCGGTCAAGCTCTTGTCGGTGCTCGCCAACCACAGCTCGAACCACGTCCCCAATGGACACCATGCCCATCATCCCACTTTCATTAATGACAGGGATGTGTCTGATTCTCTTATCTGAAAAGGAGACCAGAATAAGAGAAGAACATATATACCAGTTACAAGCTTATGTAATCTCTCTTATTAATTAAAAAATAAAAATTGGCAAGTTATAAGATATCCTTCAATCTTTCCACCAAAAGGACAGAAAAGCACATATATACCAGTCATCAGTTGCATTGCTCGAAGAACTCTGGTATCAGGGGTGACTGTGATAAGTTCGTTCTGCAGCCACCACATCCGAATATTAGATATCATGAATGGTGAAATTGACATTATGCAAACGTACACGAGATTTCTATGTTACCCCTGATTACTGTTATTCTGCTCAAATGACGGTATCAAAGACTGCTGAATTTTGCATCCAATTTAATCCAACGCACAAATAATACAAACAATTGGGAAGGGGCACTACTAATTAGGGGAACAGTTGAATTCTCTAAACTTATATGGCACAAAATGCAGGTACCACAAGCAAACAGACGTTTCCCTATTACAATGGTTCATACCTCTTCAGTCATGATATCTCCAACCTTTGTGGACTTGGATGATCTTCCCTGCACGATGATCTTCCTCAGGTAATCTGAATAACAAGATGACAAAAAAGATGTACATAAATGACCCGATGACAAATATAATTAGCATAAAATGCTGTTAATATTTAGACCATTTAACTGCATCCAAGAATATATTGATAAAACTGATACAATTTTAGTCCACTATATTATGCCATGTTATTTACGGGACCCTTAGCTAGTTAGCCTATTTGCTCAAGCATAAATTACATTGTTCTTATTAAAGCACATACAAGTCTTTACGGCACACGATACACATCTAGAAATTCCAAAAGCACCAATGAGTGGACATCACCCATCCTTTTGCTATCTTTCTTGTATTTACAGGGTCTGAACTGTGTCCAATCATGACAATCCCATTTTGCTTGTGATCAATTATGGATATGTTGCCAGATGGCTTAACGTGCAAAAGCATATAGTATACGCGATCTTTACCAAAAGATTTTCTCTAAGATTTCAAGGACTTAGATGGCAAGGATGGGAGCAAAAGATGAAAGAGCACAAGAAAGTAGTTCCCCCCCCCCCCCCCCCTTTCCCTGTTCTTTTCTATAACATAGAACAACATTCAGGTTCACTACTTTGCATTGTCCAACGATTTTTATAGACATATTAGCATAAAGATAATGCACATTCATGTTTTAATTTCTCAAAGAAATTCATTTCATAAACTCCACTTAGTTTTAAGAGGAAAAGTCTCTTTAAACTTGCTTCAGATTAAAGGACTAGTAAAATCAATCCCAAGCATCATTGACAATCAATTATGCCATTCCTTCATCTGCATTGTTCCCTGATCCAACTACAGACCCAAAATCAATTTCAATATAATTTTGTCAGTACAGCTAATAGAGAAACTCATTTTTTCTCTTTTTTCAAAAAGAAAACCCTGACTATCAATTTTGCCATTCCTTCATCTCTATTGCTCCTGATCCAACTACACACCCAAAATCAATTTCAATATGATTCTGTCAGTACAGATAATAGAGAAGCTCAATTTTCTATTTTTTCGAAAAGAAAACCCTGACATGAGTCAATATCTTGTGAATATAACTAAAATATCCATCAGACAACATGTCACCATAACCCCCCCCCCCCCCAACAAAAATATATATATATATATATTTATATAAATATATGCATTCCTATCTGGTACCTCTTTCCGTTATAATTCCTGCAATTGACTTCTCCTCACCAGGTTTCACAACAACCAAAGCTCCAACATTGTTCTGGGTCATCTGCAACGGATATCAATTTAGTGGATTTCGTCAATCCTGTGTAATTAAACACCTTAAAAACTATTGCAAAAACAATTGCAATGAAAGTAAATATGAATTACCGATTTAACAGCATCATAAACAGTATCCTCTGTGTTGCACCAAAGCCAGGAGCCATCTGCACCTTTGCCTTTTGCTTTCAAGATGTCTTCAATGGTGGTGCTCTCAAAACCATGCTCCTCAATACGAGCAGGTGTAGCAGACTCATACCGTGAAAAGGATACAGGCTGCAATAGGGGGTTCACGATGCGCATTCGTTGCAACACAGCATTTTTTACGACATTCCCATGTGATAAAAACACTCGCAATCCTCCTTGCATTTTAACTTTCTACTAACCAGATAGGCAGAGAGTACCTCTTAGAATTTGTAATTTTGTAATTTAATTAGCTTAAGCCAATAAATGCACATACTCATGGGAGAAGAAGTGATGAGCTCTTAGCTCTACAAAGAATCACACAGTACAAAAGAACCAAGTATATGCATATCGGCCAATCCAAGTGTTATCCCCCCACCCCCAACCAAAAAATAAAAAAATGGTACTAATTAACAATGAAATAAATTTTGACGAGCATTGCAATATCAGATTGGAAAAAGCTAGATACTCCTAAGTTTTAAAAACAAAACTCATACAGATGTTACCAAAACCAATGGGTGAATCAATTTTACCAAGTGGTCCTCACCACCACAACCAGTTGTGTAATAGTTACCGTCGCATACCAGTTGCTTCTTTTGTAAAAGATTCATGCTAAATTGCATAGCTGTATCAAACTTATATCTTTTTCAGATGAAGCTCAGAGCAACATGGTGACTATCAACAAAAGAGAGAGAGGGGAAACGAAACCAATAAGGTATGTAAAAGCATTTCACAAGATTGTGCTGCTAATTACCCGATTCATGAAGTCTGGGAAATGGTTCATAAATACCCTAACATCGTAAAAAATTCCCATATAACAACATTTCCAAGTGCCAAAGGAGATCAAAATAACTTTCTCGTCCAATTAACAAGCACTCGGATCAAATCTTAGAATAATTTACATAACTTACCATTTAAAAATAAAAAAATGAATCTCAAAATTGAAAAATGAAGTATACAAGAAAACATCACTTCCAAGTCTAAAAAGAGAGAGAAAAGGAAAGAGACGCAGAAGGTACGGAATCCGATCTAAAAATTAATAGAAAAAATTGAATGAGAGATTCAGGTCTCCTCTTTAATTTTATTCAGCGTTGTTGTATCTTTGATGACTAAGGTTCATGGATATATATGGAAGTTGAGGGTAAGCAAACCAAAGCAATCAATTTACTTCATCACAACGCAACACAACATAACCCCCACAGACATCAGCATCAAGAAGCTGAAAATAAATCTGAGAGAAATAAATTTAGAGAAGAAAGGGGGTGGGGGTGGGGACCCATAGAATTAATGATAATCGGAGATAGCATATCATATCAACCTGAATCTGCAGTTTGGGTGGGGTGGGATCTTTCGAGATCCAAGTGAGTGGCAGCACAGAAGGGTGCTCGAACAAAGAATAAGAAATGAGGATAAATTAAAAACTAGTAAGTGGATAGAAAGACGTATGTACCTTACAAGAACACAACAGAAGAGAAGAGTAGAGAAAAGAACGGCGTCAGGATAGAAATGAAATATAGAATGGCTGAGCTGAACCCTAATGACACTGTCACTCTGACACGAATCTCACAATACAATAACCGTGATCGTGATCGTGATCGTGAGTGCTGGTGAGGTGAGGTGTGGTGTGGTGTGGGGCCCTCTCTTTAGTTTTGGATCATGACATTGACGCTATCCGTTTTACTATTTTCTTTTTCTTTTTTCTTTTTCTTCTCGCACTCTCGCAGGCTGCTACGTGATTTGATACTGACATCTTATCTGTACTATATGCTCCAACAACTTTCATAAAATTCTAGATAAATCAAAATACAAGGAATCTTCATCGACTTTTTCTTTTCTTTTTTTACAAAAAAAAAAAAAAAAACGACATCTGCCAACATATTCAATATTAAATAGAAGTTCGACTTTATCTAGCAGAAAATAAATGAACTTTTTCTTTTTATTCCATTTTATCATTAAATGAATATAACTATAAATAATTATTAAATTGTTTTATTATTTTATCTACTAAAATAATTTACTTAAAATATTTATATAATAGTTAAAGTTAATATATTTCCTTTGCTTACGAGAAAATTATTATTTCATATCACTTATCTTTTGCGTTTGTGTATGACGTAGTAAAATCAAACTGTAAGTGTATAAAATTTTAATAAGATCAATACTAGTTAAGTAATAAAAAATAAATGTATAGGATAACATGTCTTTTTGCGTAAAAGGTGAGTAATACTGCTCAAAACTGAATCCCATAGCAAATTAGCTACTTGCTGGAATTTTTTAATGTGCTGCAGCAGTATAAACACGGTTGATGGTCCTTTGTCTTTTTTTAAAAATTATTTGATTTTTAAATTCTTCCTTTTTCAATAATTTACCTCTCAATCCCCTTTTTCTTTCTATTCTCGGAAGAGACCTTGAAATTTCAAGACCACCAAGAAAAATGAGATATAAAAAGACACAAATAAATCATCAAATAAGATTTATTTTGTCTTATATTATAGAAGATAAAAAAAATTTACATAATAAAAGATAAATTTATCTTTTATATATATATATATATAAATATGAGTGACTCGTATTTTCTCTTTTTCTTTTTTATCGTCACATGAGTCTTATATATTTTTATATGTATATACGATAAAAAAAATATTAATTCCGTTAAATATTAATTTAGCTAGGTCTCTTGAAGGCCTAGGGACGTAATCTAGGCTCTTGCTCCAATTTCCAATCAGCTAACTAGTTTGCATTGGTACGGTACTAATAAATTTATAGAATAGGATATGATAAATATGTTTAGGTATGGTGGTAATTATTTTTGTAAGTTGAATAATGTTAATTATATCGTGAATATGTAATAATTATGGATAATATATAATAATTAGTATATAGTGAATAATAATTTGTTAATAATTATATTATTTATTTGAGGTTTACTGGGCAAGGTTTAGTGCAATTTTTAATAATCAGTAAAATAAATACCAGTTTGGTATTACTTAGTATGATTTGAAAAATAATTTACTACATTGTATTATAGCAATTATGTAAATAATTAAATTATTTTTTATAGTTAGACTAATTAATTTTCATCAAAAACAATTTGCTGATTTATTTATATTGTTATTATTGTAATGTCAATGCTAAATTAAGGACGTTGTATTTTCATCTCCATCTTTATTATTGGATCGTTCATCTTAATACTCTTCTGATGATTCCCATCAAGGTCGCATTCATCATGGTCAGATTATAACATTAGACATAATAGATTGCGATATTTATCCAATTATTGCTTAAATCATATGAAAGACAAACTTGGTTGTTCATATTTATATACAACTAACAAAGCGTCATGTTATATTTGTCCATTAGTTAAGCAATGTAGAAGTCCTTTTATTACTTGCAATAAACTTATTGATTCATCCATTGAATTAATAAATTATGGTGTTTGAGGTCCGTATCACATAATTTCTTACACTAGCCATTGATTCTTTATGAATGTGGTGTGTGATTGCACTCGCTTTATTTGGAGTTATTTGCTGAAACATAAATTTGAAGTCTTGACCATATCTCCAAAAAAAAAAAAAAAAGTCTTGACCATAATTTCTAATTCTTTTAGCAATATTTTGATTTTGTTTGACGAAAAAATCAATGTATTTTAATCTCATAATGCTAAAGAACTATGATTTGCTATTTTTTAGTCAACAAGGATTTCTTCATCAATTTTCACTTGTGAAGACTCCTTAGCAAAATTCTAATACTGAACAGAAACATCAACATATCTTGAATATCGCAAAACTTTATACTTGTAGTCATAGATCCCTATTCATTTTTAGACAAAATGCATTATAACTATTGTGTTTTTTGTTAATAAGACTGATCCTAATATACTTAGGCACCGATCTCCTTACAATTTGCTATATCACAAGGAGTGTGATTGCTCATAGTTACAAGTTTTTGCTTCCATTTTCTTTGCCCTCATAGCAAGTTTCATCCACGGGCTCACACTTGTGTCTTTCTGAGTTATTTTCATCGACTAATCAACCAACAAATCACGAGACAATATTCATTTGCAACCGTGCATCTCATGGATTCTTTTTCAGATTTAGCATTGCCTGATATATTTACATCTTATAGCTCTCCTCTATGTCTAAAACCAGAGGTTGCTCCCTATCATGAGTCATCTGTCCCATAATAGCCTACCCACCCTGCTCTTGTGCAATGTTAACAGCCTGAATGTATTCATGATTCTTTGGTTCCATCTCAATCCTAGTTTCTCAGAGATCCACTTGAGTAGTCCTAGATATCTTTAAGATTATCATTGCAACTTTCCAATCACGTATCCATTATCACATTTGTTCCATATCCTTTGTCCTTAGTGATTTCGTATGAGCTATCTCCTAAACATAGATAATTCACTTTTAATGTCTTTTCACATTTTGAACCTTATTTTGACCATCAAAGCCATCAATTTTTCTGAATGATTTGTTTTTCCTTTGCTTTCAAGCAAACACATAGTTGGATGTCACTAGATTTACAAAATTGAATTCAAGTCTCATGGTTCCATTAAGTGATATGAAGCTCGTTTGGTAGCCAATGGGTATACTCAACAAGATGGGTGAACTTCATTGATACTTTTTCCAAAGTTGCTAAGTTAGTCACAGTTAAAACTCTACTAGTCATTGCATCCTTTAAAGGTTGAATCCTCTATCAATTGGATGTAAATAATGCCTTTCTAAAAGGCAATTTATTTGAAAAGTTTTACATGGACTTACCTCTCGTCAATAAGGTTCAGGGGGAGGCTCTTGGTCACGATGGCAGACCTGTGTGTCGTCTATGCTTTTTATGGCCTTGGTCAAACATCAACACAATGACGTTTAAAAAAATTACTACACTTTTAAGGCATGACTTTTGTCGGTCCAAGTTAGACTATTCCCTTTTCACAAAAGGTTATGGATCATTCTTTGCTGCCCTCTAGTGTATGTGCATTACTTAATTCTCATAGGTCCATCATTTATAATAATTGAATCCTTTTAAAATAATTCATTCACCATCGATTCAAGTTTAATAATTTAGGTAACTTGAAGTATTTATTACCTATTGAAATTGTTAAGAGCTACAAGGGCATTGTGTTCCAAAAGTTACTACTCCCTCCAATTACCATAAGACGTGGGATTTCTTGCTTGCAAACCAGTTATTGTTCCCATGGAGCATAAATATCAACTCAATGGTATTGATGGCAAGCCTTTATCTAATTATTCACAATTTCGAATATTAGTTGGAAGGTTATTATTATACCTCACACTCTCTAACCAGATATAACCTTTGATGTCCACAAATTGGGTCAAATCATCTCTCAACCCAGAATCCCATACTTGCAAGCAGCTCACTGCACTTTCTTATATATCTTAAAAGTAGACTTGGCCAAGGACTATTGTTACTTTCATCTTTTTCTTTAGGGGCTGTTTGGTAGGAGAACTTTTTTTAAAATGATAGGAAAGTGAAAATAGGATTCATATATATCCATGTTTGGTAGAGGTTTTGACAATATTTGCGTGGTCATCTAGTTTGCCTTGGATTTCATGTTATGTGCAAATTATGAGTTATTTTCCCTTCTCAAAATACCACAAAAGATGTGGTATTTTTCGTTTACCGGTAACATGGATTTCGTCACAAATATTTTTGGACAAATGTGCCCCTTTCTCTTCACAACGTCATCTTCATTTCTTAATCCATATCCTTCTGGCTTATTTCTTCAGTAAAATTGCATTCTCTTTGATTTATTTCCTTGCTTGTTGAATACAGATTAATTTTTACTTGCTTTAAATTAGAACTTGTACCCTGTTATTACAGAGTTTTGGCAGATCTGAACTAATTTATTTCTCTTTGATCAGAGCTGTTGTTAAGGACTTCTTCATCTATGGTATCTGTATGTTGGTGCTCTCCCTTCACTCTACTTTTGGGAGATCTATAGATGAAGTGTAAAAATCCACAGGTAAAACAGAAAATCCGCACAAGCATATAAGCTCAGATCCTGAGAGCAGATCCGAAGGCAAGAGCGGTGACGCCAAGTTGGGGTTATTTTTGTAAAATAACCCTACATTTCCATTAATATTTCATCATCAACCAAACAAAGACTCAGTAAATTTAACCAACAATTCCCAGTAATATTTTCGCATACCAAACAGCTTTTTTATAACATTCCTTGGTAATTCACTTTCCTATCATATTATTAGTAATCATGATTTCCAGACATCAAAAAATTTCTCCTCTACCAAACACCCCCTTATAGTTGACAACCTTCACTGGTGCAGATTGGGTATTATGTTTGGATACAACAAAATTTGTTATTGGAATGTGTTTTTCTTGGGGACTCTTATCTTGAAAATCTAAGAAGCAACAAACATCTTAAAATTTGTAGCTAAAGCTGAATACGGAGTAATGACTGCTATTCAACAAAACTTTGTTTACTGTCGTCACTTTTGCAGGACCTTGCTATTTGCTGTTCGTACTTTATCTATACAGAACTATCACGTGTCCAAAATGGATAAAATGTGAATTTAATTAGAATAAAAAATAAGCATGATTTAAATCATGACTAATTTCAGAATTGGGAACTAATACAAAATTAATTGCCATTTTATCTGGGACTATTTTTTTAAACATATATGTGAATACACGCGGTGAAATCACAAAGATAAAGTGTGATGAAGTTACTGCATTATATAGTATTATGTTTACAAATAGTATTATTTGAATTTTTTCAAATTACATTAATTTCATCAAGAAGCTTGTGAAACTCTATTGCTATTAAATTATAAGAGTAGATCCTCTCATATTAAAAAAAAACATTACATGATCATGTAAGGAATTATAACACAAAAATATATCAATGTTATAAAGAAACATAGAGAAAGCAATATTAAAATAAATAATTACAAAATCATCATTATTGATTTATCTTTATATGTTTGTGATTTTTTTATATAACCATCTCATGTTTTTTTTTAATACAAGATGATCATTTTCTTTAAATTATCTATAAATCGTGTCGTTTAGACATGATTACATTAATTGAGAATTTTGTGAATTTATTCTCGATAAAATCTCTTCTCCCACGATTTATATATTTTAAGAATAAAATATTGTGTTTTGTTTGTTGGTTATTTGGCAAGTGGCTTCACAGAAAAAGAGCTGGGGCACCACATGATTGATATTATCTAACAGAGCATATGATGCCTCCGGAAAAAATAAAATGTCATTAGCAAAATAGCAAATGTGAAAATATAAGGGCCAAAATGACTTGCTCGCTTCGTTTTCCAACAAACACCCTCCACTTCATCTGATATTGAGGTAAATTTTTAATACTACTGTTATATCTAGGTGGGTGCAACATTTTTTACTTTTGAAAAAAAATGCAATGTGACGAGAAAAAAAAAATTGAAAGGTGGTAATTTTTTTTCCAAAAAGTGAAAAAATGTTGTACCCACTTGAGTACAACAGTAATACTAAAAATTTATTCTTGATATTATTATTAGAGTTTGGGGTATTTAATTACATTTTAAAAATAGAAGTGATATGCTGAACAAAATATAAGATTAAAATTGTCTAAATACATACAATCGAAATTCCATGAAAGCCAAGCATACTAGGGGTGTTCGCGGTCTGGATTGGATCGGTTTTGAAAGCAAAAATTATGCGATCCAATCCCTTCGTTTTGATCATATCATACATTCGGTTTGGATTTTTTTTCAAATCCGATCCGATCCAATCCAATTTTTTCCAGTTTGTATTGAATCGGTTTTTGATTTTTAGAAAATCCTAAAATTTATTTCATGATTTTTGTGCAAATAACATCTTTTGTATATATTGACTTTGTAATTCTTTTTTTTTTTTTTTGAAATACAAAAGCATTAGTAAACTATAATATAATTTTTTTTTTTGGCAATGAGATATGAAGTTCTACAAAGGTATAATTTTGTTAATGAGATGTTACTAGATTTTTTCTTGAGTTTAGTTGATGGATTAAGGGGCCTTGGGTTTATAAATTTTTGGGCTATGATTGGGGAAAGACCCAAGTAGGTAGTGAGAAATTAATATATTGGATCGGTTTGGATTGGATCGGTTTTCATCAACCCCTCCCAAAACTGATCCAATCCATTTAAAATTTACGATTTTTTTTTTATTTTTGATTTTCGATTTATTCAGTTATCGGTTTTTCGATTTGGTCACTGCGGTTTGAATCGTTGATGAACACCCCTAAAACATACCCTTCTTACGTTGCGGTTGCGGTGTCTCCTTGAGTGGACCATCTCATGGGTTTTATAACTTTTTCAAAAAATATTTTTCCTTTACTTTTTTAAAAAAAGAAAAAAATTGAGAGTTATGGAATATTATTGAATTGAAGACTCTGGGTGTGTTTGAAAGTGTTTTAATTTTTTTGTTTTCAAAAACTGTTTTGAATATGAATTTTAAAAACTGATTTTGAGAGTAAAAAAAACAAAAAAACTTGTTTGAGTGTAGTTAAATTAAAGTTATAAAGAAGTTGTAGTTATTTATAAAAATTTCATTAATGAAGTTTTAGAATTACAAAAATGCCACCATAAAGTAATTGTTTTTGCTTCTGAATTTACGAAATTGCCATTAATGAATCTTGAAATTTACAAAGTTGTCACCGCCTAAACAAAAAAAAAAAGCAAAAACTCCATGGGAGAACATCGCCAGGTTGTTTTTGTTTTTTGGTTTTTAAAACTGAAAAAGAATCATTGTTTTGAGAAGCAATTTGCAAAGAGTAAATACCCTTTTTGGTCCCTGATAATATCTACGAAATCTTTTTTAGTCTCTGACAATAAAAATGGACCAAATTGGTCCCTAAAATTATGAAAAAGGGCCACATTAGTTCTTATGTCAACTCCTCCGTCACTAACGTGGCTCTTTTTACGTACTGTTGGGACCAATTTAGTCCTTTTTTATTGCTAGGACTAAAAAAGATTTCGTAGATATTGCCAGGACCAAAAAGAATATTTACTCTTTTGCAAAAGAATCATTTCCAAACAGATTTTTTTGCTTTTTTATTTTAAAAACTGTTTCTGAGAATTGAAATCAAACAGACCCAGATCTGTCTCCTCAACTCAACTGACGCTGCAGTGCAGCATTGTACATTGGTACATTCTTAGTGATCCAATTCCAAATCCTACCGGAAAAATGGCGGGAAATTTTGGCGCCAGGATTGCATTGGATATTGTCCCTCTATATAAAACCTACCCTCCTTTCTTATTTCCCTTATCACCATTCTCGTTTTCCCTTGGCGCACACAAGCATAAGCACGTTCTCAGAATGGCCCAACCAGAGTCACACGCCAACAACGGCCCCGAGATTCAAGAGCCTTCGCCCAAAATCCCTAAGATCCACAAGAACGGTGACGTTTCTGCCGACACTCCTCTTCTCCGAGTGAAGAAACTCTCGGACAAAGCCATTTTGCCCTCTAGGGCTTCCCCTCTCTCTGCTGGTTACGATCTCTCTAGGTATAACCCTCTCTCTCTCTCTGTGTACATGTATATAGCATGGAGTTAAATCAATTTATTTATTTCGATTAATATTGGCAGTGCGGTGGAGACGAAGGTGCCAGCGAGAGGGAAGGCTCTGGTGGCTACTGATATCAGCATTTCTATTCCACAAGGGACCTATGCTCGCGTTGGTAATTAATTGTTTGTTTCTTTTTTTATTGTTTCGTTGTTAATTGTTTATTCTTTTTTTAAATTTTTTTAATGTATAGTGTTGATTTGGGGATTTTTGGGGGTTTTGTAGCTCCGCGGTCGGGGTTGGCGTGGAAGCATTCGATCGACGTGGGTGCGGGGGTGATCGACGCTGATTACAGGGGTCCGGTTGGGGTGATCCTGTTCAATCATTCCGATGTTGATTTTGAGGTGAAGCTTGGAGATAGGATAGCGCAGCTCATCATCGAGCAGATCCTCACACCGGATGTTGCTGAGGTTGATGATTTGGATTCCACTCTCAGAGGTGAAGGTGGCTTTGGATCTACCGGTGTTTGATTGGGGTTTCGGTGTTCTGATGTTATGTAGTATGCTTAGTTAGGGTTTAAGGGATGTGAAGAAAAAACCGATGGTGGGCGTGTTTCTACTTTTTCCCACCTATTGTTAGGGCTGATAAACGAATGAAATCATCATTGCTTTTATCAATCAAACTTCTCTTGCCCCATTTCATGTTTAGTGCTTTTCCTATTCCAAACTTGTGTGGTAATATTTGGTTGAAAGGAATTTGCTGTGAAAAAGAAATTATACAGGAAAATTTGGTCGGCTTTCTGGTGTCAAATTTTGTTGGTAGTAATATGCATGGATTAGGAAGTGGTGGAAAGAGATCTAATAATCGGATTATACATTAATATTTATATATTTTTTTGGCGTGCATTAGAATTATGCAATTTCCATTTCTTTGGTGTTTTTATGTTTATTGGTGCTGTAAACTGGGAAAATTGAAATTCTGAAACGGAGATTGAAAGATCTAAAATTAGAATTCTCTCCATTTAATACTGACGGGAATAATGGGCAACGTTTGGCATCCAACGCAAGTGAATGTGTTTTGAATTGATTTTGTTTGTTGCTTCACCTTTGGAAGCTCGAAATAAACATGTCGGAGTTGGAAACTGTATTAGGCCCTCCACATTTTATGAGGGTCAGCTCCAACAGGAACCAATTAGAAATTGCTTTACAGCGCTTGTATTCTCACATTTACATTTTTATAGCTAGTTTTGCCTGTGGTATAAAATGGGGGGAAAGTGTCTGGTTCATATATGATAACAGTACAACCGCTGCTTCTATATCTATCTGAGTTCTATTTTAGCCTTCACTGATGAAAATTGGGTTAATAGAGCTGCATGGCCAGGGCCTTTATGTGTACTGTAATCTCTTTAGTGTATGTTTATGTATCAAAAAGTGTTGCTTGTTGCTATGTGAGAGACTTATGATGCATGATTGAGCTGATAACTATGGATTTTCGTGCTGTACATTGGAATATAAATATTATCTTTTGGATTGGCGATGGAGTGGGATTATCTGCTGCGTTTTAATGGATAACCGTAGTCACAACCTTGCTGTACATATATCAGGAATTCATTGACCTTATCCGCACTGGATAGTTTACTTTCTGCAAAAATAGTTCGTGTCTCAGATGACAGCTTTCTTTTGGTACATGCTCCCAAACTTTCAAAAAAAGCTATGATGGTGAAACTAACTCTGAAGGATTTTTTTGTGTTTGAATAATGTTCCTCATGCCAATTAAGCAATCATCCATAATCCACAAAGGAATAAACTGGCAGGTGTGATATGTACTTGTTGAAGAAGGCTGCATTTATTAAAAATGATCTGAAATTTTAAAATTGCAAGAGTGCAATTAATTTGTTTGGCAAGAACTATGGTTTGTCAAACCCGAATCCGAATTTCCTTAATGTTACGTCTCAGAGCTTGAATAAAATATTTTTGCATTATTTTCACACACTCCCTTTCTGCCTCGTGTTCCTGAATTTGAATCTTTCCAAACCAGCAAACCAGAAGCTGTTTGATCAATTTCATAAATTCCTGTAAATTACTTTCTAGCTCTGTAAACTGGTGTCTTTTTTTTTTTTTTTGAAGTTATCTTACCTTAATTACCTTTGAGCTGAATCGGTTGACTCGGCTCCCTCACTATTCCCACAAGTTTCAACTTTTTGAGCCGGTTCTGAGATTAATCTAAAGTGTGAGGCATGTCAGAAATAAAGATATTTAAACCTCTAGTTTCTTTCTATTAGTTTTGGTTCTCTTTGCTGGATTTTGTTTGTTGGATTCCTGCCTTCCCTGTTCGGCATTTCATTTCTCTTCGACAAAGTCTAGTTTTAGCAAAAATATAAAATCTTTTCAAAAATTTCTATTTATTACACAGGGTATGTTGTCCTTCGTGTAACTATTCCGTGCTTTGAAAATAGCGATGGGGGAAAATTGTACTTTTTGCTTCTAATGGAAGATGCTACTAATTTATAATCAAATATTCTCTTAGCCTTCTTCGTTAGTATTATTTATTTTTACAGGAATACTTATTTGTTAGGATAAGTGTTGGATTGGTAATTGGGATTAATCAAGGTTGAGTGGAGTGTGGTGTTCAAGAAATGCGAATCTAGCACCCCCGATCAAATGTATGGGCCAGATAGTTGTAGGGAATTCAGTCAAGATGGGTGTGGCCTTGTGGGTTTGACTCTGAAGAAATCCCTTTCATGAAATAGTGCTTGTTGTTATGCTCAGAATGCAACATTTTGGTTTTGGTCTTGAACTTATGCCATCAAACAAAAACTAACCTTGAACTTCTTCCATAACTTCTGCTTGTAACAATTGTCTTTTGATATTTTCTTAGAAATATGCAATGCAAAAAAAACTTTCTAGACCATGAATTCACGTAACCAAATTCACATAGTAACCAAGCTGTCTTTTCTCCTGAATCTTCTTACCCAATTTTTATGCCCTCAGCATCAGGGCCTGCTGCACCTGCTAGTTATGTGGTTACTCCTCAATATTGAGCTCTTTCAGCATCAGCCATGTCTCAATCTGCTGTAACAGCAGATATGCCTGCATCCAAAGTAGAATCGGTCCCGGCCACCTCAAATTTGAAGTAATAAAGTACCAACCAAGAAAAATTGGTGACACAGCTTAGCACTCCAATTTCTGATTGGATAAGACTTAAATCTCTGGTTTTAAGGTGGATCACAATTTTGATTGACAAAATACCAACTACGTGCTGGACAAGACTCAAGGTTGCCTGCTATTGCAATGCTAAACTTTAGACCAAAGTTCTTGGTATTTGATGTTTGGATTCATGGAGTCTCTCAAAGAATGGGGTCAAGTGGTTCATCTTTCCATAGAATGCCTTCGTTAGTATTGCCAAGGATAGAGGGATCTTTGAGCTTCCTTATTCTTGTTTTTGTATGTAATGATTTCTTATGTCAAGTTATGACAAACTGGAGACTGTGCACTGATTAAACAGGCTTGAACTGGTTTAGCTTGCCATAGAATGCTTCACTGTTCTTGCCATGGTGGCAAATAGAAAGTAGGAAATTAAGAATGAAAAAAAAAGGCGAAAGTAGAAACAGTAAGCAATAGCTTAACTGTTCGAAATTATTTTCAATATAAAAACGTTACATCTGTAGCTTCATTTATTTTTATTAATTAACAAAAATTCATCAATAGAAAGGTCTTTTTGAAATTTTTGGGACAAAAAACAAGATGGAAAACTTTCAACAAGTTATTGTTATTTATTGGTAGCAGAGATGATACAGGGTTTATATTTGTACACTTGTATTAGATTTGAAACTTGTATTAGCTCGATCCTTTGACATAAGTGTCAAATTTGAAATTTGACACCTTATCTGAGAGCCGTTACATCCAAAAAGATCAACGACTCTGATTTGTAAGCATGTGACACCATTGATCTTTTTGTGTCAAACTTAAAATTTGACATTAATATCAAAGTATCCTATCTCTTAGTTTTTAGATTTGAAACTTGTATGAGAGGAGTTTGACTGTCCTCTCTCGCTCTTGTAGTAGTTGTATTGTACTCTGCTGTGGTTGGTTGGTTGGTTATGGACTATGGTTAGAGTCCAAGACTGACCTCAAGGACATATGCTCGTAAATTCTTTCCATGTGGGTTGTTGGTAAGTGTGAACATTCTATTAGAATACCAACATGGATAAAATTCAAACGCATATAGCCGTTGCTGATTTTTTTAACCATCGCAATTTTTAAAACTTTACTTTTTTGTTGATCCAAACGAATTTAGCCGTTGTGCAAGTTTGAACGCTGAGAGAATACGGAGGAAGACAAACAGAAAGATCCAATTTTTGTGGCACATAAATTAGTTAATTTATAATAAGGGTTATGAAATTGAAACTGGTGACTTTATTGGAGTCAGAAAGTCAGAGAGGACAACACAACATGAATCTCCAACGGAAAATATTTTTTAATGATTTAAGACCATTTAATGATATGATGTTCCCTTTCATATCATTAATTTTTTTTTTCCCTTTTTTTACTCTTGTCATTTTTTCCATTTTCCTATTTTACTCCTCTATTTACACTAAAGATTCACCTAAAGAATGGTGGTCCCTGAACACAATAATCTCCTCCTCCGAGGCTCCAACGGATCTTATTTCTTTATGTAGCTGAGCTACTTGCAGTGTAGCCTAGCCCGCCTTATTCTCCAAATTTGAATATTTTCCTCTCTCTCTCTCTCTCTCCATCATTAAATCTCAAAAGTTAAAAAGTTTTTCTTCAATAATAATAAAAAAAGTATCTATTGGGGAACGTTCCCACTTCCACAGCCTTTCTTATCTTATCTGATTGAAATTCAAATCTCCCTTTTTCTCTGTTCCTCCACTCTCTACTCCTTTCTTCATATTATTTTACCTTCCATCCATTTTTTTGTGTGTGTTTAGGCCACACCACAATCCAATCCCATGGGTGCCTGCTTGAGCAAGAAGAAAGGGTCCTCTACCTCCTCCCATTCCCAGGGGAATGGTGTCACTGTTAACGCGTCCAAACCCCCCACACAGCCAGAAGTGAACCCGAAGAAGAAGACAGTGCAAGAGAAACAAGACGCACAAGTAGTAGTAAAAGGAAAAGGAGGAGATGAATGTCAAGTGAAGAAAGAGATATTCATCATCAAACATAGGAAGAGCCATGATGATAGAGAAAGAAATTCCAAAACCCCACCTTTCGCCGATGAATCAATGGGTAACAAGATTGCACCATCCACACCAAAGATGGGGATGGGTACCGTGGGTGTGAGGACTTCAAGCTGCACCAAAGAAGAGGTCGATGCAATTCTCATTCAGTGCGGGAGGCTCAGCAGAAGCTCTTCTGGAAAAGCTGCTTCTTCTTCTTCTGCTTCTGGTGAGCGTGGGAGAAAGTACTCGGGTTCCAAGACAAGTTACGATTTTGATCACTGTGACAAGGATGCTATTTCTGCTGATGATGACCACAAGAGAGCCAATGCCACTGACAATAGTGAAGAATGTGATGCAGATAAAAGCCACCACCACCAACACCGCCAGCGGCACCGTCAATCTCCTTCTCAGGGAAGGAGAAGAACCCCAAGCAGGGAAAGCGAAAGAGAACAGCAACAACGATCCAGCAGCAGAGAGAGGAGAGTGAGTAGATCTCCCGGAAGAAGATCATCCGAGACTAATGCCAATGCCAATGCCAATGCAAGCAACAACACAAGTTCTAGGCCTGGAAAAATGGTATCTGTTCCTGCCACTGTTTCATCACTGGTTATGGATAAGAGTAACAATGGAGAATCTGCAGCAGCCACAGGCATAAAGAGGATCACGGTTAAGAGAAATGTTGGTGATGGTGGTTCAAGGAGTGCAGCGTCACCACGTTCTCAATCCCCTGCAAGAGCTGAACAATCCCTTAGCCGCAATAACTCTTTAAGGAAAGCTGAACAATCTCCTTACAGAAGAAACCCGCTCAGTGACCTTGATCCTAACTCCCTTGCTTATCCACAATCAAACACCAACAATGTGCAAAACAAACCCCACAAGGAGATTCAACCAGAAGAATCTATTCAGGTAAAATCACTTTAATTTCTCCCCCACCTGGAAAGAATCTATTTTTCTTTTATGTTTTGTCTTTTTGATCATTAATGTGATGTGATGTGATGTGATGAGATGAGATGAGATGATGTTTTGTCATCCCCACTGCAGAAACCAAATGTTGATACTGTGAACGACAACAACAAAAACAGGAGCAGCAGCAGCAGCAGAGCTGCGATGGGGAAGAAGGGTGTGAGTGTAAATTGCAAGAGAAAGGAGCAACAAGAGGAAGAGATCAAGGTACTACTGTCTTCGGTGCCTGATAATGCTGTTGTGAAGACAGTGGTTCCATCAGGGGTTGATAACAACCTTAAACCCCAAACATTAACAAGAAGCAGATCTTCTAGGCGATCCAGAGACTTAGACATCAATCCTGAAGCTCTGTTGAATCCTACACAATCGTATACCTCACTACTGCTTGAAGACATCCACAACTTCCATCAAAAGTGCACACAACCACCTTCTATTTCTCTCCCAGCTTGTCTCACCAAAGCTTGCTCTATCCTCGAAGCTGTTGCTGATCTCAACTCCACCACCAGCTCAAATTTCTCTGAGGACAGGAGAAGTCCACCCACTTACCAATCTAATTCTAGTAGAAATGAGTACAATCATTATGGAAAGAGGGTGCAAGATACCAAGGATCCATTTGTAGAATCTGAGGTAGTTGTTTGTGATGATGTGATGGAGCCAAGCTTACACAAGTATGTGACAGTTAAAAGGGGCGGTTCACTTTGTGGGGTAGACATGGAGGACCAAGAGTCTTCAGGAAGCAACAGCTTCATTGTCAGTAGTGGACAACAGCACTGGGCTATTTCTTCTTCTTCTTCAGGGGAACCCAGTTCTGCTGACTCAACAGATTGCTGGACTTCAAGATCGAATTCCAGAGAGGAGGGTCAGAAAAGTTCTTTAGGCTTGGAAGCTAGTTTGTCATCTGACATGGCTGAAGCTACCAGGAAGAAGACATTGAACAGCAAAGGGAGAGAGTGTGATCATCAGCATAGCGGTGGGATAGGGCGTGGCAGGCTTGGTTCCAGTAAAGGTATTCACACGTTGCCTGTGGTCACAGCTGCTGCATCAACATAGATGTGATGCTGATAGATACATCAAAGTCAATGAGTTTGACATTCCTCCTTCTGTTTGGAGTTGTTGCATACTTGCAACCGTTTCTCGTTTAAGGCCAATTTATGATGATCTCATAATCTTTGTTCTTTTCCCCATTCTGCAATTGTGTGGCCATTATGATATTATGCTTTCATTTCTTCGAATGAACAGGAAGATCAATCATTTTCAAACTCTATTTGTATCAACTCTCGTTCAATACAAACATACAAAGAGAGTCTCTCCACGGGGAAAAACAAGTAATTGCTCAAATCCCATAACAAGCATGCCTCTTCATCTTAACATTTGTATTGCTTTCCCTCATCTTTTAACCTTTTTTCTAAACGAAAAGCTGCCAAGATTTTCTTTCTAACGAGAGGATGAAAGGGAACTTTGATATAAATAATGTAATGCAATACACACGAGACTAAAACAAGAAAAAAAAGACTAGAACCTCCAAAAGAATCATTTTTCGTTAAACTTTTTGGGCAAAACTAAGTTTTGGGTCCAAATTTCGACCTGATCCTTTGGGCTTGGTCGAGAGGGCTTTCATGTTTCAACCCAATGAAAAAGACTAAGATACCCATTTGGCCATGTTGTATTACGTTAAAAAGAAAAAAGAGACAGGAAAATTATTTTATTTCTTTGAGCTTGAGTTAGGAAACTTCTACAGTTCATCTAGCTCTTCTTTGAAAGGTCCAATGTATTTGTTTCATCTACAGTTCATCTAGTTGGCTATATAGCTATGGATATTTTTATTTGAATTCGGATCTCGAATGTTATTAAAAAGAAACATACAAAAATTATTATAATAGTAATTATTTATGTGGAGCCTATTCATTTTGCTATCGTGTCTATTTTTCTAGTAACATTACAGGATCACGTTGATAAGTAAAGGAGGGGGGTAAAATCGTCTTATTTTATGGGAAAAATTTTTCTTATGTTGTTGGAAATGAGTTATAACTCTGTAAGATTGAGTATTTGAAGTGTGAGTTTTCTCTAGCAAAAGATGAAGATCAAGATCCCGTGCACCTACTTGGTCAAGAGAGATTGATGAGGATGTAAATCATATAATCAGAGCAGAGTGGATGACAGTAAGACCTGCAATGCTATATGGAGCTGAATGTTGACCAACACATATGCAACATGAACATAAAATGAGAGTAGCAGAGATGAGGATGTTAAGGTGGATGAATGTGTGGTTATACGACGATGGATAAGATGAGAAATGAAGATATTCGACGAAATATAAGAGTACTACCAGTGGCTGAAAAGATGAGAGAACATAGACTGAGGTGGTTTGGGCACATAATGAGAAGGTCCCTGGATGCTCCCGCAAGAACAAAAGTTTGTTACCAAGAGCTCAACACAAAGAAAGAGGTAGAGGTAGACCGAAACTTACGTAGTAAAGCAAGACTTAATGGATTAGGATATAGATTGACGGACGGTGTGCCTTAGAACGAAATGTAGAAAATCTATATGCATGGTGGAGGTTAGACTTGTTGTTATTCCTATGTTCCAGATGGTTCTTTTTTAGTTCATTTTCCTCTTCATCCCCCCTCTCTTCTTTTTCCCATCTTGGGTGTGTTTGCCCTGTAGGTCATGCCCCATGTGGGGGTGTCGCCTCATGTGGACATGTTTGAGTGCTATATTTTTGTAATTAATTTCAAAACGACTACTTATTTATAATTTTTTTTATTAAAAAAGCAATAAATTAATTTTTTTGCCAGATTTGTTGATGTTACTTCCGATTTGCTTAATTATTTCTGTCAATTTAGAATGACACAATCGGTAAATGTCAAGATGATAAATTAATTTCTTATCCGATTATATTTATGAGTTCTCCTTTTAAATTTTATTTAATTAAAATAATGCTCATTTTTATTGTTGAAAATGTAAAAAGGGAAGAATCCTAATTTCAAATGTCATTTCATATTCTTACTTTTGGCAAACGTTTCATTGTTGGAAATGACAAGTTTATTTCCATTTATATTGATAAAAAGTAAGTAGGATTCATTTGGTATTAATGATAAAAGAATTGCTGAAGTGACTCGAGTTAGGTGGCAATTATTTTCCCTTACAGGAGTTGTGACAAAAAAATCTAAATACGATATGTTTATCGGTAGAGCTTTTTAGCTTTATTTTTGGTTTTTTTTTTCCTTTAAGAATAGATAAGTCATCTATCACATACTTTTATTCGAATTATCGATTTCTATTGGGTTAGTGAGAATGCGGAAGCGAAGTAAATCTGTAAGAAATAGAAGAAAAAAAAAACAAAGAACACTTTAGCAAATAGGAGAGCAACACATGTTAGACTCAATGGGTCAATGTCAGACCGGTTGGCCGACCGTTATTATTCACGTGAGAGGAAGGTCAAGGAATGTTTTGGAAACCAACCTTGTTTCTTCGTCATACTTCTTTCTCTTTCTTAGTTAGTTACGTTGTGCTTAAGATTAGTTGTGGTATTAATAATTCATGCACAATCTTTCAACTTTTCCTATTATCGTTCCTTTTCTCTATCTGAACTCTGCTAACCACGTAAAATTCATACCCTTTACACACGTAATAATGTCGAAGAACATTACAATTCTTGTTGCGACCATGGCTGGTTTTCTAATTGGTAGGCTTTTCCTTTGTCTGCTCTTGCAACCAATTTTATTATTGTTAAATAAAAAATAAAGGGAAAAAAGTATCTAATGATACTTTAGATAACTTTATCTAATGTTCATCAAAACGACGTCGTTTTGGGGTTAAAAAATAAAAAAACTAGAATGATAAAGACTATTATAACCTTGAAATAAATTAAAATTACAAAAATACCATGATTTCTGCCTCAAAACGACGTCGTTTCAGTGAACATTAGATAAAGTTATCTAAAGTAACTTTAGAAAACACAATCCCAAAAATAAATCATCACTTAAAAAAATTAAGTAAGAGAGTTAGATATTTTATTTTGATTTAACCATAACAAAATTAATAGTAATAATAGATGGTAAGAAAAGAAGGTAATAAATATAACTTCCCTTTTAAAAATTATTTAGTTGATGTTTTAAGAAAATTTAATAATTTTTTATAATTTGCGGGCACGATTCTAGACCCATCAAGGCTGATAAATTTTTTAAAACTAACCAATTAATTGACACATTGTTGTATATAAATATGAAACAAGTGCAATACCCGTGCGATGCACGGAGAAAAAATATCAAACGGAAACGAAGTAAATCTGTAAAAAAATAGAAGAAAAAAACACACAAAGAACACTTTAGCAAATAGGAGAGCAACACGTGGTAGACTCAATGAGTCAATATCAGACCGGTTGGCTGACCGTTATTATTCACGTGAGAGGAAGGTCAAGGAATGTTTTGGAAACCAACCTTTTCTTCGTCATACTTCTTTCTCTTTCTTAGGGAAATGGATCATCTCATGTGTAATTTAACATGATCATGTCATGTGGAAGGATCTTAACCATTAATAATTAAATCAACGATGATGATTGTGTAACTTCTTATCCTTATATTTTTTCTCTCTCCTCCCTTATCACCATTAACTCACCCATATATGGTTGTGATTGCCCCACATGACATGAGAGGATCCATTCCTTTTTCTTAGTTAGTTACGTTGTGCTTAGGATTAGTTGTGGTATTAATAATTCATGTACAGTCTTTCAACTTTTCCTATTATCGTTCCTTTTCTCTCTCTAAACTTTGCTAGCCACGTAACATTCATACCCTTTACACACGTAATAATGCTGAAGAACATTACAATTCTCGTTGCGGCCATGGCTGGTTTTCTCATTGGTAGGTTTTTCTTTTGTCTGCTCTTGCAACCAATTTTATTATTGTTAAATAAAAAATAAATCATCACTTAAAAAAAATAAGTAAGAGAGCTAGATATTTTATTTTGATTTAACCATAACAAAATTAATAATAATAATAGATGGTAAGAAAACAAGTTAATAAATATAACTTCCCTTTTAAAAATTGTTTAGTTGATGTTTTAAGAAAATTTAATAATTTTTTTTTAATTTGCGGGCACGGTTCTAGACCCATCAAGGCAGATGAAAATTTTAAAACTAACCAATTAATTGACACATCGTTGTATATAAATATAAAACTAGTGCAATACTCGTGCGATGCACGGAGAAAAAAGATCAAAAATTTTGTCAGCATTTGTCGTTGATTAATCGCTAAAACAGAATCAGGAGATGTCGATTGAGGTTTCCTACTCCCCTGCCCCTTCGGTTGTAGTTTCATAAACTGATGTTGAAGAATGAAACTCATCGCTTGCATTTTCATAGATTGAAATGGGCGAATCTGGTTCAGTAACAACAGGGCTCGGGTCAGGGCTCAGATCAAATTCTCCCTTATTCCAAAGTTGATAGGAACGACGAAGAAGAAGAGGGTGGAGAAAAAATTCACCATTGTTACCAACTTACCTAGAGGGAAAAGGTGGGTAGAGAGAGAGAGAGGAAAAGGGTAGAATGGATTTGAAAGGAAGCAAAGGGTCTTCTTTTTTTTTTTTTTGAAAAAAGGAAGCAAAGGGTCTAATAAATTATATTTAGAAATCCGGTGTAGTTGGTCGCAACGCAATAGAAGTGGATGGGCTTTAAATAATCACAAGCCCCGGCCCATGAGCAATTGATCATACCAAAATAAATTATACTTGTGCAATACCCGTGCGATGGACGGAGAAAAAAGATCAAAATTTTTGTCAGCATTTGTCGTTGATTAATCGCTAAAAGAGAATCGGGAGATGTCGGTTGAGGTTTCCTCCTCCCCTTCCCCTTCGGTTGTGGTTTCATAAACTGATGTTGAAGAATGGAACTCATCGCTTGCATTTTCATAGATTGAAATGGGCGAATATGGTAGAGTAACAACAGGGCTCAGATCAAATTCTCCCGTATTCCACAAGTGGATGGGAACGACGAAGAAGAAGAAGAGGGTGGAGAAAAAATTCACCATTGTTACCAACTTACCTAGAAAGGAAAAGGTGGGTAGAGAGAGAGAGAGGAAAAGGGTAAAATGGATTTGAAAGAAAGCAAAGGGTCATCTATTTTTTTTTTTTTGAAAAAAGGAAGCAAATGGTCTAATAAATTATATTTAGAAATCCGGTGTAGTTGGTCGCAACGCAATAGAAGTGGATGGGCTTTAAATAATCACAAGCCCCGGCCCATGAGCAATTGATCATACCAAAATAAATTATACTAGTGCAATACCCGTGCAATGCACGGTGAAAAAAGATCAAAATTTTTGTCAGCATTTGTCGTTGATTAATCGCTAAAAGAGAATCGGGA